CTTTCTCTGGTTCTCTCCGTCCCTCTCTTTCTCCCTCTCCCCAGTGCTCTGCCTCTGTTTCTAACTGACTGATTCTTCCCTGTACTTCCACAAACAGCCTCCACCTCTGGGCTCCCTCACCCGCCTGCCTCTCTGCTCACCTACCCAAACCACTTAAAACAAGCTGCAACACGCTTCCAAATCTAAATCTGAGGCCCAGCCAAGTAATCTTTGGCTTTTAAGGGATTTTTTTCAACACTAGTAACAAGACATCAAGTCAGCTTTTCGTGATCATGTAAGATTACACAGGCTACACAGATGCTGATCTTGTTCTGGACACTTTATCAGCAGATGTAAGCCTCACTAAGTAAGATGTCAAGCTTGGAAGAGACAAATGAGCGGTGATTCTCGGAGATCATATTTTGACCACACAGTGACTCAGTGGTTTGTGGTTATTACCTGCTCACTGCAAGAGGGCTTGGACTCACACCATGCATGTTAGGATGGATCACAAAGTAATGCATTTATTTTTGTCTGAGTAACGTCACGGTTGTCTGGGTTGTTTGGATGAAGCTATCAAAATTGACTTTTTATCCAGTTTTAAGACACATTTTTACGATACTCTGTTTAGATCTTGGTCATTTTTAACTATATATTTTAACTGGATAAAGGATTTTAGTGATCAGACATCTGGAGATATTGCCTCTGAACAGCATTGGAGAAACACTGACTTTTAACATGAAACTACTTTATTCAGTGTTGTCACCAGTTTAAATCACCCAATCCATTTGTTTTGGAGAGGAGGAGCCTCTGCAGATAATTCAGCTCCCAGAAAAACCTGAACGTTTGGCACTGAAAGAACCCAAACCAGGAGAAACTAAATGCCATGACAGCTATGGTGGTGAAGATAACAACTCCCATGATCCCACACTACTTCACAACATCAACAAACTTTTTCTTTTGTTATCATTTTGATTAAGGGAAAAGGTATCATACTGTAAATTGAATATGAAAGTGCAGGTGGACTTCTTGAATGACAGACTGAATTAACATGGGATCATTATCAAACAACATTTGGAAATGCTGCATAAACCCATCTCTTCCACTGTTGTGACATTTGTAAATGGGGCCAGATTTGTCTGTGTTCATAGCAGGAGCCCGCAGACTGATTTTTGTTTCACATTTTAAAGTGCAGAGCCCCCACCTCACTAAGCACAGCTGGCTATTAACCTTCAACCTTGTGGACACAAATTGCGTCAAAATAATTTTTTCATAAAATCTAACCCAGATTATAGTGTATGATACCACACACTGTCCTGAAAAAAAGAATATATGTGTGCTTGGTTGAGAAATGTTGAGACAACACCAAAAGCGTGGAATTAATATGAAAGATGAGCAAAAGCATCCCCAGATTCAAGAGGTTAAGATGAAGAGGAAACCAAAGGAGAGGAAAATAACTTGGTATGGGGATGGGGTTCAACAACTGATGCTATAAAATGATCTACAAACTCTATAATCCAGATTAGCAGGTTCGTAAAGGTCCTGGGATTAGCAGTATAATGCCCACTAATGTATCTTTTAATGGAGGTTGTCTCTCTCTATCAGGCATTTTCATCATATGGAATCAATGGTTTTAGGCAGGAAATGGAGCCTGCTGGCACTCACTAGTGTGAGATAATGGTCAAGAGGGGACAGACATAAAGATATTTCCCCTCAAAGCGCAATAATACCCTGCGCAAACACATTAGAAAATTCTTGAATAACCTCCATCAGGCCTCCTGATAATCCCAGTAAAAAGCTCCTGCACTGACTGCACTTTCCTCCATCATTAATGTATGCTTTCGAGAAAAGGCAAGCACCGAGTTTGGGCTGCACAGAAATGTACCTGTTTTACAATATTCAATAAAAGGCATGTTGGAGTTCCTCCTGTAAGATGGTCTCCCGTGGCAACCGCTGGAGAAAAATAACGTACTGTAAAACAACAAATGCATCCAGTTTAACACTCTTTGTTCTGATGTTGTATCATACTGGTATTTTTGCATGTTTATGATAATTTACAAGATATTGTATACTCTATACTTTTTACCACTGCCAACCATTACCCCAAGCATCATCACATAGAACATCATGGTTCACAGATAATGTGAGACTGGGGTGAATTTGACCACTTCTGCATGTGCAGATGGGATGTGACGCCACTGACAGGGACTAAATGAAACGGACCGTTACCTTGACTAAAATCACATATCTACTCAAGGTTTGGAAGGTCTACTGACCTCCACGCTACAGTTCTAACACCGCCCAAAATATTATATTTCCTGCTTCGTTTGCAATGAAATTTATCTGATGTTCTCCACGTCTTGCATATTCAAAAGTTTCATATTTGGGCATTCAGGAAAAGCAGGATGGTTGGGTAAACCTTGGCCTTAATTTTATATGACAAAGGGCAGGTCAGGTCAATTTTATTTCATTTCATCAGTGTAAAGTGAATGATATCTAGAACTGCTCCCTGTCTTGTTACTCTTCTCTGTGTAACAGCAAACCACAGAGAGCCCCTGCACAGAAAATCACATTGAGTTTTCCATGATGTGTTCACTCTGAGAGCAATCAGACCACGGCATGTCTGAGTCATCCTCACACTTGAATCTAACAGACAAGCTTACCAGCAATCTTATTATAGGAACGCCGATAGACAGACACCGCAGCCAATTTTACAGTGTAATCCTGTAATTGTGCTTTTATGCCTGACGTTTCCATGTAAAGGTGAAAAAGTCAAGATTGAAAAGACACAAATTCCCAAGTTTGGAATTGTCAACAGGCTGTGTTTCTTGTTTGTGTCACAGTTATTGACTAATTTTTCATATTTTTAAGTCAGGACTGGAATAACTTGCTGCAACATACTTGCTGTTTTTGTAAACTTTTTGTAAAAATCAAACTCAAGAAGATGTTTTCATGAGGAAATACATCAGACAAATAACATTCAAAGATCATCAATAAATTAATGGCTCAATAAAAAAAATGTAAAAAATTGGATAGATTCATAAAATTAGGAATAGCCTATATAATTTCAAAACAGTCATCTTCACTTTAAAAAACGAACAAGAAATAAGCTCTCAAAAGGCCGTCATGCCACATCTAATCGTTCACATTAATCCTACTGCCTCACATGAATTTTCCTGTTGACAACAGCTGAGCTGATAGATGAAATACAACACGAGAGAGGATGAGAATGACTGTTGATGATTTACTGCATCGTCAGTAACTGAATACCTTGTGGAAAAATAACGGAGGAGCGCCTGCCAAGAGGTGAGAGGTTGCCATGGAAACATATTCAAAGGATAGAAGATCCATTTGCCAAGATCTTAGCAAAACATCTGACTCAGCCCAGATATTTGTTATTAGTCAGTCATCACTGTCATCTTTGCCAGCAGTACAAATATATGGAGTTAACAGTCCAAGTAGAGCAGCGACACATATACTGAGATTAAATTCATTTTATGAAATGGGGAGTTACAGATGTTAGTGCGAAGGTAATAATGCACAAAACTGAGTGATGTGCATGACGTTTCAGTGAGTTAGTGAAACTGATCTTTTTCGAACTAGGCATAAATGGAATGAAAGAAATTAATCCACATGCCAGAGCAGATGCCATTTTATGTAAAACAAACAACCCTCAGTTCCTCGGGCATCCTCTGCACTTCAGTCCATTAGCTTGACACTGCAGTCACTAGATCATTAGGCCCCATCCGCTTCAATAATGCAAAAAGAGCAAACCAGGCAATCACCACACAGCCTTATCTGCCTCTCACCTCTCAACACAGCAGGTTTCAACAAGGTAGAGAACACATTATCCAATCAACAGAGTGTGCAACAACCGGCATCCTCCATGGCTCTAAACAGTGTGCTGGCAGGCTCGTGTCTAATTGACTGTAAATCATGCAACTGTGCAAAGAGTAGAGAAAGAAAGAAATGAATATGTGAGCTGTCACTTATGCACACCTCTGACACAGTTATGATCCATTTCCTCCACCACTGATAAAATCAAGTCAATGAAAAGGTAATCACAGGAGGGGAGCTCTGACATCAGTGGTTCCTGCTTTTAAACCTGTGCTCCTTGATTCTGCAGGCATGAATCTCAAAATCACATCAGCCTAGTTCGGCTCTTGTCAGCCGTCAGCCAGTGCTTCACTTGTCCCCGGAAATGTAGCTGTCAACACACGCAGGACTCCTGATGACAAATGGCAGATAGGTTAGGGCTTTGTGATTTGACATCGCCGCTGATAGGCATCACAGCCCCGCCCACATTAGGGACAGAGCAGCCAATGACAGGATGCATTAACTGCGCGACCAAACCAATGGCAGTGGAGCTGCTTTGTTTCCTTGCCTGCTTCTCCAGCTTGACGCTGAATGGCTCTGTTTTGTGCGCACATGTGACCCCAGAAGGCGCTTACTGGTATTTAAACATCATCGATTGGGTGCTGAAGTGGACAGCTCCCCCGTGCAGATACACCAACCAAAACCAAAACACAATGGCTGGGTTGACTCCTAGTTACATGGACCCTCTGAAGCGCCTTTTCTCTTTTTAACTCCGAGTGAAGAGCTCCATTTCCCCAGCCGTCCAACATCTTTCAACATTTACGGACTAATTTTAAGCAGCTGACGAGAAAGGCGCCGTTTTAACTATACAAACAGCAGTGAGGCGGATGTTTTGACACCTGTAGCTAAAGCCGGATCGCAATCTCATAAAAAAATTAAAATTATAATATATAAGTAGGAGGGGTGGGGGTTTGGATTGTTTCACATCCATCTTCCTCCATCCGTCCTGCAGGAGAGGTGCTCCGCTGCGCTGTTTGATCTCGAGTGGTGAAGCGCAAAGGTAGTCTAAAGCCATAACGGACGCATTAATTTCTAAGCTGCTCTCTGTGCCTGCTTGCAGACAGGAAAGAGCATGGATAGAGAAGCATTTGCTCTGACTAGTGCGTTGAGGGGATTTGTAGAGCTGGGGGTGTGATCCCGTGGAAACTAAACTAGGGACAACGTCTAAAGCACCGTTACTGACAGTTCGCCATTTCTCCTCAAGCCTCTTTTGGTTATTATTTCATCATTTTGAGGAGGACATAGATTATTTTTTGAATTAGTCATGGGGAAAGAGGAGTGCAAAACAATGCTGGACGCTTTGAACAAAGTGACCGCCTGCTACAGGCATTTGGTCATCGCGCTGGGAAGCACCTCGGACTCGCAGAACCTACGAGAGGAGCTGAAGAGGACCCGCAAAAAGGCCCAGGAGCTGGCCGTGGCCAACAGGACTAAACTGACCTCTCTGCTCAAAGACAAGTCCATCAGCAAAGAGGACCGGGCTGAGTACGAGCGCCTATGGGTGCTGTTCTCGAGCAGCATGGAGCTCCTGGAGGTGGACATGAAAAGGTCCCTGGAGATAGGGCAGGATTTCCCCCTCAAGGTGCCAACGAGACACCTCATCCAGACGGGCATGACCGGCAGCACCAGCACCGTGGCGGCCCGGGCCATGAGCGTGCAGAACATGAAGTACGAGGCGGACAGCAACATCGACACGGCGGACCTCAGGGACCTGCAGTCCGAGATCTCCCAGGTGAGCCAGATGATGGAGGAAATGGAGATGAAGGTGCAGGTGGCGCCGTGGGCCGTCGAGGCAAAGCAGGAGGCAGGAGCGGAGCTCAAGTCCAACATGAGCGTCGGAAATTCCTCCGTGGGTGTCATCTCCATCTGCGAAGAGGAACCAAAAGAAGAGGAAAGTGGAGGCAGCAGGGGCTCTGGGTTTGCATCGATATGCGCTGTGTTTATGTTCTTTGTCATCCTTACTGTCGCCGTGGTTCTAGGATATTTGGTCATCAATATGTCCTGAACCGTCACCCTGATGGACATCCTGCGAGGCTGCCCACCGGAGCATCACCGTGGGTACAGAGCCAGCACCTCCACATGCGAGAGAACGAGCTTTTTGTGGGATTGAGCGGCTGGGAAAAAGAGTGGACAAGTTATTAATCTTTCTCGGATTTGTGAATGTATTCGGTGGAGTTGAGGAGTTGCACTAGATAAAATGTAGAACAATATAGCCACTCGGAGAGAATGGACAATGCACAAATAAGTATTTTGAAGGGCCAATGGGTCGTGTATTTTTGGAGGAGGGGGGAGGGGTGGGGGATAAAAAGAAATAAAATTACGTGACAGTGTCTGGCCATCAGGATGATATAAACAACACGTAATCCAAGTGGATTAGTGGAAAAGCTCAAGCATAAATGTAGCCTACTGTTAAGTATTCCCCCTGGTGTGCTGCTGATTGATGCTTTAAATTTATGATTTCAATCCAGAAAAGTCAGAAGGAGCAGGTTGGGGTGGGGGGGGGGGGGGGGGGGGGCAAATAGTCAGAAGAAGTAGGGTCACGTAAAACCTAATAGAGCCACTATACAGTTAACCTTTGCTCTTCACATCACACAGGCTGGATGTGAACAAATCTGCACTGTCCTCCACACTTGTTAGCACAGTTTTAATACATCATAAAATCTGTATAGCCAGATTGTAGTGGGCCTGCATCTTACTCCATTGCATCAAATCACAATGTGCTACATGAGAGCCTTTGGACCTAAGAGACTTCAACAGTCTTTTAATAATGCACCCATTCACTGTAAGCCTGTTCATGTTCCTTTACAGGGTTTTTCTTGCAAACAGTGTTGAATGTATACATTGCAACATGTGAATAGAGGGTTTGTACATACAGTCTACTGCTGTGACAGATAATGTACATACAATCAAGTATATTTATTATAATAAAATTTCGAAACACACAAGAAATAGTTCTGCAGATGCTTTACAAAACAACGCCAAAGCAGTTTTTCTACAAACAATGACCATGCAAGAAGTGAATTTACTCTTATGTGTGAGGCTTTGAAATATTTGTTTTGTGTTAAAGCTAATGGTTTTAGCCCAGTATGACGGCATATCAGATGTGCACTGAGGTATTTTAAGTAGAGGATTATAATCTTAGACGTAACCACCCTGGAGTTAAAATAGTGGTTGATTTAAAGTGGAAAGTAGACTAACACAGATACTTTAACTCCCTAATGGTTTTAGTTGTAAGAGTCTTTGAGGGTATTTCTGGAATGGTACATAGGTGAGCCAAAGCCTGTAGCCTACTGTACATGTATAGGAGGGAGGGGTGGGGGTGTGTAGTTCTCCTGGACCATGGGTGAACACAGATGGGTCCAGCAGAGCCAATGCCTAACAGTTGGGGAGTCTATTCAAAAGTCTGTTCAAAATGTTATTTTTTTTACCCTCAAAATTGTAATCATGATTTATTTGAAACAAATCTCTCTGCGGGTCTTACAGGTCACAAAATAGTTTGTATTTGAATTTTCAAAACTTGAAATGGAATGATTAATCCACAGTTAAATAAATAAAACTATTGCATTCCTCAATTCTAAAGTAAATAATGTAGTTTATGGTATATTATTGTAAACAATAAAAATCCCACACTGCATCACTGTTTATAGGTCTTTGGCGGGGTTAAATTAAAAGGCTAGTTTAGAAAATGTTGTGTATGAAAGATATCAGCAATGCATCAAAAGTGTGTAATGTTGTTAATAACAAATACTGGTAAGAAGAAGTGTTAAAATGATAATACTATCTGAAAGGATTCTGCAAAACAGAGTGACCCCAGGAGCTGCAGGACGACATGTTGTTGTCATCATCATTTTACAAATTCTAAATTTGAATTTGAATTTAAAATGAATTCTAATGAAACGTCTGTTAACATCATATCTGCTTGCAGCTCAACAGTTGCAGATCAAATTAGCTGTAAACTGAATTAAACTAAATTGAGAAGATTATGCGGAAAATAGTTGCCCGGCATTTAAAGAACATTCAGTCTCAGTAGCAGGCTGTGGAAGTCTGTAGAAATCTCACAGGATCAAATTTAATTACAGCTACCCTCCTCCACGAAGCAGAGGCCTGACACCTTGTGGGAGTAATGGATTCACTGCAAAAAAAAAAAAATTACATATTTCTTAGGCCTATTTAAAAAAAAAACAAAAAACTGGCAAGTGTAAAATATTCAAGTTTCAGACTGAGATAGCAATCATTGGGAACATTAAAGGTTTATTCCGCAGACTACTTAGATGCCCTTCTCTGTGTCCCACTGCGTTTTATCTCTTATTCCTTCCTGTCTGTCTCCACTCAGCCCTTTGAGGTTTGAAACCTGTGGAAAAACATTGATAGAACATTGTAAAAAAGATAACTTGACACCTTGAAGAGGCCACAGAGCCGAGCAGATTTTTTGGCAGGACTTGGATGCATCAAAAATCAGTGGCATGCTACACTGACAACTGATTCACATAAGCTCTCTTGACATCTTGTTTATCCTTGTTGTCATTTCACAGGGGCACTGAGCTCTGCTAACAGTGAGTCATGAACCTCTTGAAATTCACCACAGACTTACATTGTCATCCAGAGATCCAAAAATACAAAGGTGATTAATTAAACATGAGGAAGAAGGGGAGGAAACGGAAGAGATAAAGCCTCCCCAAACACTGTGCTTTAAAATTTGTCCCTCGCGTTTGCTCATGCAAAAGTTTCTGGAATGCTGAAATGATTTTGTGCAGTCTCTGTTACGCAAGCTGCTTCTCAAAATAGCCACAGCATTAAAGTTTTAGTGTATGGGCTTCATTAGGTATACAAATTTACCCTTTACAGGTGAGTAAATACACTTCCTCTACAGTTGTTTGGAGGCATTTTGTTTGAACTTATGCATGAGAGAGCCAGTTATTTGCTTCACTCCGTCGCTTGGAAACAAATAAACTGAGCAGACTGGTTCACTGAGAGGCAAGCTGCACACTTGGCAGAGACTGCATCATCACCTCATCTGGACGAAGATAGTGGGTTTCCAAGGCTGTGGGTTGCCATAGAAACCCTCAATGGACTCTCCACCGCAAACAGCAGAGAGGATTGAACGGTGTTATTTCAACTCACCCCCTTTGTGACACCACCATCCTACACATACACAGTGCAATGTGAGGGCAAACCTCATGTTTTCTCAAGCTGATAGATAAAATCTGTCAAAGGGCCTCAACGTTTTAGGAGAAAATGTTTTAACCAGGTCAGAGTGACATAAAGGTTTCATCTTTTTGTTGTAGCGACTCAGACAAATCCAAAATCAATAGATTCAATCTCAACGGTATATAGAGATGCTTCTATCAGTTCCCCTCTCTGTTTATCCAACTCTCTTTATGATTCAGCCTCTTCCTCCTGATTTAGCTCATCTCAACAATAACACATCTGTAGAGCCACAGATCAACACTAACAAAGTGTCTGCACATTAGCTTTGTCAAAAAAAAGCAGAAATATATTGAAAAACAGAAACCTGGTTATGAGCATGACTGAGCTACAGTGACCAGAGTGATGGTGCGTATACTGTGATTGCATCTATACAGTTACTGGCATGCTTTGTGATAGTAGATGTGAAAATTTGCCAAGCACCCATTAGACTCATTTTTTGACCTATTCCATTCAGCTCATTCCCCATGTGCTTTCACATGTAAATCCCAAACCATCATAAGAAGATGTAGCACAAGTCACCTGAAAGCAGTTTGAGACAGCATCACTAAAAAGAACAAATTAATAATGAATTAATTGATGTGTTCAATAATAAATTACTTTATAAATGGCAGACACAGGGTACAACCCATTTGACAAAGATTATTTCTTAATTTGCCATGAACACTGCTGTGAGCAGGGAAGACACCCAAAGGGGAAAAGGTGGAGGCCCTGCAGAGCCTCCACCACTGACATATGCACTCCTAGAGAGAGAGAGAGAGAGAGAGAAGAGAGAGACAGACAGACACACAATTAGCTGCTGGTGTTGTCTCTAATTCTTTGATATATTTGTTAGTCAGCCTGTTACTATGGTTATGAGCTAAATTTGGTCAAAATAAAATGGTTACATAATTATTTTATGTATAGTATGGACCGGGGGGGTTGCCTACATATTTTGCCCCCCCCTTCCTAACAACAGCTTTGACACAATAAACAATAACAACAAAGTCAGATTTAACTGTTATATTAGAGCATCTTTAATCAGACAAAACCCAGAAGCTCACACTAAAACAAATTGTAAGTGAAACAACCTAGAAATGAGTGTCTGGATAAAACGTAAAACTAGCAGTCCTGTGTACACCGTGCACAATAAGGCCATTAACAATCACTTAATTTCAAGCACATAAGCGTCCAGGCTGTGTGTCTCTCTCTCCCCATTTCCTCCTCCCTGTCCTCTGTTTTCACTCAGGCTCTCTGTACTGGACCATCAGTCATCCTGAGACCTCTCTCCCCCTCCTGGCCGTCAGTGCCTCCTTTCAGATGTTTTGGATGTGGATCTTGGTCCTCATGAGTCCCATCCTCCTCTTTGTCCCTCTGTCTTGTTCTGTGTGCTTGTTTCCTCCTCCCAGACATGTGGCTGAAACTCTTTTGGATTTTGTCTCTTGTGTGTTTGTGTAATCTGTCCTCTTTCCAGGTCTTCATGGTGGAGAGGAGGTCATGTGGCTCAGGTCATATCTGTTGGACCTGGAAGTTGTTCAATATCATCCCATCTTCATGTTTGCTTACAGCCTATAATTTTGTCATCCTGATTGTCCACAGTGTATATTAATATTATGTTGTACATTCTGTACACTGTACATGCACTGTTTTGCATGTCTGTACTTGAGGAGAGCTCCATCCTCAGTTACTCCTCCATTTCTCTGTAAGGCCCCTTGAGGCAAATTTGTGATTTGTGATATTGGGCTGTATCAGTAAAATTTGACTTGAATTCATATTTTTTCAATTGCAATTTTGTGAGACAAAAACAAAACAAAAAACAAATGAGGAAGCTGATAAAGGGAAAATGAAACAAGCAAACTTTCACAGTCATTAATGCAGTCAGGTGAAGACTTAGGGTACTACCCAGGAAAACTAATCTAGGCTTAGCCATAAATAAAAAGGTGTAAAAATAAAAATATTTGTTTCACAAGGCTTTTTTCCAGTACATTTTCACAGAAAAGTGTTGGGGCAAGTCAAAGCTGACTTTTTGAATCATGTGACAAGGCTGGTTCGACAACTGGAAGCAGGTGGTTGTACCTGGGTGTGATGGTGATCTGTAGAGTTGTAGTATATGGATTTAAGATCACTATACGGTGCAGTGCTGAATCATCCTGAGGATCCTCCAGCTGAGAGTCTGTGCTTGTATCCACTTGAGTCTTTCCTGAAGTGTCCAATGGGTAAAGTTTGTCTCCTGGAAATAGCAGAGCCCAAGAGTGCAAAGAAAATAGCAGACAAAGATAAGGGTAATGAGAAAATGATTAATCTATGATAATCACAGTGACCATCTCATAAAACCAATACTAAATAGTGTTAATATTCAGAACACCACATCACAGTCATTCATCATAATAAAGCCACATCTAATATCATTTAGATCAGTGGTTCTCAAACTTTTTCACATCAAGGACGCCTAAATTGACACAAATTAGACCATGGACCCCCATCTGATAAGATTTTTGCTTTTAAATGTCTTATTACAGAAAGTGTTTGACACTCGTGAACAAAATAGTCCATCCATAGTACATTCTGTCCTTGTGTTACTTAAGGATGGAAATATAGTGAAAACAAATTATTCCCCTTTTTGCTGGGGACCCCAGGGAGCCCCCTCAAGGATCCCTAGGGGGTCCCCAGACCCAACTTTGAGACCCACTGATTCAGATCATGAAACATGAGTTGAGCATGGTTGACTGCTGGTTTTGGATGTGGATTAGATAAAACAGACAATCAGCACCTGGAAGCAGTGATATGTAGTGCTCATCTTTTGAGAAAACAACAGGCAGCCACTGCTCACAGCCCTCTGTGGCACGCTGGCTGGCAAAGTTGTGGAGGTCATTTAACATGGGGAAGCGGCACATGCGGCTGAGCTCATAGAACTGCGGAGGGGCAATCCACAGCTCCTGTGCCTGGTAGCTCTGCAGGACCTCTGAGGGTGTGGACCACTGAAACACAAAAAGAGAGAGTGTTTTACAAGTGTATGTATTTTGTGTGTATTTAATTCTATTTTTACTTATTTAACTTTTATCTATTTAACTACTTATTTGATGTTTTCTAATGTGTTCAATGAATAAACGGACCTGAATCCTGGCTCACCTGAAAGCGCACTATTTCCTTTTCATCGTGCAGTGTGTGCGGGGTGTCCTGCAGGCAGCACATGAAGAAAGCTGTATCAAACCTCGTCACACCGTACCGGCCCGCGGGAGTCAGCCAGTTACCCCATTCCTGTAAAGCCCAGATGTTGGGCAACACCTCTAACTCTCTGCACATCCTGATGAAGTTGGAGGGGTTTTGGTTCACCAGAGCCCTCCACCTGGTGAGTTCACTACTGCCCAGCTCGTTCACTTTATAATGTAGCGCTGGATCAGTGGCACACCTGTCCTCTATGCTTTTTAACAAACTTTTCTCCTCCAGTTTAGAAACAACCAACAGCACGCCGGACTCCTCAAACGTCTCTCTCAGGGCGCAGATCCTGAAGGCGACCTCTCCCGGGATAGGAGAGCCCAGTTTCAGTCGGTCTGTGGCGAAGATTGGAGGTCTGGTCTCCGCCGGTTGCTTGACATTTCTCAAACCAAAACTGGGAGAGTTCCTGAAAGATTTGAAAATGTCCAGCCATTCACTCGAAAAGTCCGAAGAGTCCACCATACCCCCGGGAAACACATACGCATTGGGCATGAATCCACTTTTACTGCTTCGTTTTAGCAACAAAACGTCGTAATCAAAGGAAGACCTGTGCGGCAGGTGTGACCGCTCATAGCTGCTGCCCGGCGGTGAGCTGGAAGCGGCTGTCAGCGGCGTCCTTGACGATAAACTGTCCGCGCCGAGCCTCTGGCCTGCGGCTAAAATGAGAGTGGCCGCCTCCTTCCAGTGCTTCAGAGTGGTGTTCATCTTAAAACTCCGATACTGTTTATGACAGTTTTCACTCAGTGCTTCTGAAAGTTAAAGTCCTTGGTTCCATTTGTGGTGGTGGAAGTGACGTAGCTCGGGACTAACATGACCTGCTATCGCCCCCTAGAGGCCGGATGACCCACAGCGCTGCAGAGATACAGGTGCTCCACAAAGGCCTTTTTTTTCTTTCTTCCCTTTCTTTCACTGTTTGTTACAGAACTGGTTCTTTATGTATATATATATATATAATTTTTTCCCCAATAGGTAATAGTTATTTATTTTTGTTTTTTGCAGAACCCATTTGATGAATTAGGAAGCTCAGAAATCCCAACATCTAGTGTGTAAACAGAGAAGTGACTTATTATTGGTCAATAACACTATGAACACTTGTTTATGGTTCTTTATTAATTCATAGACTCATTCATTCATTCTCTACAATGTAACTCTAAAACATATCTAATTTTAGTTACATATCATATACTGCAATGTAATACACACCTGACAAAAAAACTGTTACATTTTTATTGCCAATCATTAACAAAACACATTTCCTGATGCTGTTTTGATGTAATAATTGATCTACCATCCACTGAGAAGTGTTTCTACATTGGTGTGAACTTAAAAAAGTTCTTTCACTTACCAGGGCTACAATAATACAAAGAGTATAGCCGATATTTTGACTGAAGTATATCAATATTACGCTCCATGCACATTATCACTTCCAACTCTGTTGCTGTAACCTGTTAAAACTTCAAACATTTGAACTCTAACTCTTTGTGTTTTCTGACAGTTCATCCTTATGCCAATTAATAGCTGTTCAACATTTCAATGATGGCAAATTGTCGCTATGTTAAAACGATCTGACCACATTTTTTACACAGTGTACACAGTCTCAGCTGTTTACAAATCCCTTAAACTGAGATATCACAGTGAAGGTAATAAATACAGTCAATGACTGATTCTGGCTCTCTAACAAAGCAACTTTTTGGGGGGGGAACAGTTTCTTCCTAAATTAGCTAATCTGCTGCACTGAAAGCACACAGTCTTACAAGCCTGAATTTGTTGCTGTAAATGCACTTAGTCAGATCCCTAAGCCCCCGTGAATGTGTCTGAAACTTGAAGTCTGTTATTGGTCATAAGTTCTTGTTCTCAGGGTTACTGAGTTCATATGAAAATGTGTTCTTGTGTTAGCAGATTACCATGAGTGGGCGAGGCTGTCCGTCTGCAGCAAGTGTGTCGGCGGCAACTGTTCAAATTCTCTTATAGGCTTCATAAAAACATTTCTATTTCAGCAAGTGCCTCAAGGAACTGCAGTCACCAGTGGAAGCCAGTGTTACAAATCAATAGTGAGCTAGAAAGGTAAACTACCAGATTGTTATTTGGCTGTTCGTGCATGTCCTGTTTTGCTGAGGATGTCATCATAAACACAAAAATTGAATTGTAACATGACCGTTAAATGGGTGTTAGAATGAAAAGTAACTGTGCAAACCTTCTACTTATTTCTGTTTATCACTATCATACTACACTCTGCGCATTCATCATAACATTTGACTTTTAAAGGCTGAATTACTGAAGAGTGATTTTAAGTGTTAAGGAATTCAATCTGAGTTACAACATGCCTTGCAGATGCTTCACAGTTTGTGCTGAAAAGCCATATGTACATGTATACTCCTGGAAACAATCCACAAATCTGCACATTTGAAGCCTTTCTTTTTTTTGTCCACCCATATGGACAAATTTTTTTCATAATTAGCTCGACCCCTTCACATTTCAAAGGTTGCAATCGTTTGCAACTTAAAGACAGAGGTTACACACTTGTATAAGAAGGGTCAACACCTAGATTAACACAGCAGAGGTTTTATTTTTCAAGGCAATCGATCCTGAAGTGGAGACATGAGTATAATAAAATATTTCAATACACTGATAAATATTTGTGCTCAGGAAATAAACAGAAAAAGAAGAAGTTACAGTATAAAATGCTCGAAACGGGGGGAGACTCGAAGAAAGTAAATAGAAGAGAAGGAGGGACAGAGTAGAAAGGGAATGTAACACACAAACATAATCACACACAAATGTGCATGCACACACAGAGGTGTCATATATCCTTATCAAAGAGGCTTTGTGAAAGAAGTCAGGCTATGTAAGCTCAGAGAGGAGGAGGGTTAGAGAGTTTTGAAACTGTCTAAAAAAGAAAGCCTGATGAAAGTTCTTATAGTGGATCAGTCATTTTTAACTTTATGAGTCCCAGGAGCATCTTCATGGGATTGCTGAACAGCTGATTAACCGATTTGTCTCCAAACACAGTTAATGATAGAATTACTGGCGGGATTACTGTATAACATTGTTTTCTTAGTGTAACCTGCATCACACCTGCATATTGTCTATAAAGTAGGAACATTTCAATGCATTGTTGTTCAAAACCATCCCATATTCCCTCCTCTCTCTCTAGTGGGTAAACTGGACACCTCCTCTCTAAGCTCTGAGCAGTGGATTTCATTAACTCAGAAACTAAACTACCTTTGCCTCCCTCTCCTTCCCTGTCTTTACCCACCTCCCTTTTCATCCAGGGCTATCCAGGAGGTCCAATCGGATATGGGAACCTCCCACCAGAGGAGTGTGTTCACTCTCAGGGAGCCTCAGGTTTTCATTTGCATCAGACATTCCTGCTTTCCTTCATTTAACTTGGCTCAGTATCATCTGAGGGTTCATATCACCGTACCTCGGTTAAAAAAAAAAAAAAAAAGCATTCAAGGTCTATGGAGCGTCACTGAGGTGGTTTTTGTCCCAGTCATATGTAAGTGAAAAATATGTTACAATATTTATTCAATGTAATATAATAATATTTTTTCATGTCATAATATTTATTTATTATCATGTATCAAGTACTACATTAGGAAAGTACATTCAATTTAACAACATTTTGTGAGCAAGTGAAAAAGACAGTGTTGTTAGATCATTTATATCAACGCAACAACAGTTAAACATTATCATGGGGAGTATGTGTGAGTGTTAACCTACCTACCTATCTATCTATCTATCTATCTATCTATCTATGGTACATGGACTGACTGAAATTGATTTGATTTAAAATCTCCACGCAAACAATGGTTCATACAAAGTGCATGACTTCTTGGAATTTATTTTGTTCCTCTTAAGAGGTGTGAGTGAAAATCCACCCTAAACCAGAATAAAGAAGTTTAGCTGCTTTTCAGTACACAAAGTCTCTCTAAAAGGTGAAACCTGTCAGCCTTTTCCTCGACCTGTGACACTGACACTTAGTGCTGTAAGATACCACTTGGTGTCATCAACTAGAAACCTAAACAAACACTGCGCAAAGTCAAAACCTGGGCCATAGATCTGGATCAAAGCCTAGTAGAGGAATAAAAATCCGTAAGATCACAGGATTAACAATGTAAATACATTTGTTTTGTGGTGGATTTTCAGTGAGTTGTTTTGGTTGTGTGAGCCTCATTGTTGAGCTACTGCTACTGGTAGGCCAAGAAGGGCTCAGTGGTTCCTTCAAAACCTTATCACAGTTACCTTGTAAACTGTGTGATGACCTTTGATTAGGACAACAAAGATTAGATTAGATAACTAGACAATGCAACATAAACCAAAGCAAAAAGTGGTGTAAAATGTATGCCTGCATTTGTTTTTTGTTTTGGCCACTAGCAAACAGAAATGGACGAAGACAGTGTTAGGAGGAGGAAGGAGTCGCAGAATGGGTGCACTGGCTACAGTGTGGACTCTAACACCAAAGACAAGCAGCCTGTGAAGGCCACTGTGCTTCAAAAAGATGTGAGTGTCTGTGTGTGTGTGTGTGTGTGTGTGTGTGTGTGTGTGTGTGTGTGCGTGCGTGCGTGCGTGCGTGTGTGTGTGTGTGTGTATCTGTTTGCCTGTCCTGTGTGGGTGTTCCTGAGAATAAGCCTCATTAGATGTTCACACAGTAGGATCCCACCATCCGTACCTTTTTAAAGCAATGGGGGCTGGGATTGAGTACCAGTCAGTACCACTTCAACCATCCCCACATATTAACTCCACGGTGATCCACTCAGAGGTGCTGTCCAGGCCCCTAAGCTCCCTAAGCCCTAAAGTGAATTTAGGGGGACTGAGAGAATTTCACTGGCTAAAATAGGATTAAAATATCAATTTATCTAAACAATTGATAATTAGCATTTCACCATTCCCCCCTCACTCTACCAAAGAAGGATATAAGTTGACATATCTGCTTGGTTGAGATGGAAAAAAAGCCCATCATGATTAAATCCCAAGACGTGTGCATGTGTGGGGGATGCATTTGGATTGGAAGCATCCTTCCAGGTCAATGATCAAGGATCCAATAACAGTAGTCATTAAGTTTTAGTGTGCTCGAATAAAAAAAAAGTCTACACCCTCTGTGAGGCCATATTTATGCTCAGTGTAGCTTTGAGCTAAATGTAAACATCACCATGCTAACATAATGACCATGTTAACACTCTGTTGCTTAGCAGGTATAATGCTTACCATATGCACCATCTTGGTTTAGCGTGTTAGAGTGCTAACATTTGCTAATTAGCAATTAAAAGAAAGCCTCACTGATGTCAACAGGATAAAGTCAAACGTTGACCTGCTGTTGACAAAGAAAAAATTAGGTGATCGCCTGTTTGCAATCCAGCAGCAGAAAACTTGAACCTCCAATCTACATTGGGCTTCCTTCCACATGACGAGTTAAGTTTGGTGAAATGGTGTAAATGAAGTAAAAGTAGATGAATATAATATTTCATCACAAGGTAAATCCCAGAATGTTTTGAAAATAATTGACAGTTGCATAGAACATGTAAAGATGAAAGTTTTCCATTTCTGGTTGAATTGCTCTGAAGATAACATTCAAGAAAGTTCAAATGTAAGAACTTAAATGACATATTTACCTCTTGCTCTATGCGTGTTTGATCAGGTTGGTTTGCTGAGTGGCATCTGTCTGATTGTGGGGACTATGATCGGCTCGGGTATCTTCATTTCTCCGAAGGCTGTTCTGCTGTACTCTGGAGCTGTGGGACCCTGCCTCCTCATCTGGGCTGCCTGTGGCGTGTTAGCCACTCTGGGTGAGAACACCATCCAAACTTATACAGAATTTCATCCCGCAACAGAGTGGTGCTGTCCAATATTATTTTCCACTCATGTTTGTAAAATGGTGGTGGATAAAACATAAAAAAACACCTCCCCTGAAGGAAACCCCACATTGGGTAGGACTGCAGACAGACAACGAGATGAGATTGCTCTGTGAGATACTGGATTCTAAAGAAAACACAGAAATTAGTATTTAAAAGTATTTATGGTAAAACTTGATCCTAACTCTAATTCTGGCTTTTTTGCATGCATATGTATGGCCTCCTCCTCAGGGGAGAACATCAGAAACTACCTAAAACATGTCTGTCAGACCAAGCAGCTAGTGTACTCTCTGTCCTTGTAATTACGCTGTAATTCATCCTTGTAATGCTTTGACTGAAGAGCAAAAATCAACAGATTTATGTCACTAAACGTACGTACAGAATAACTGGCACAATAAACTGTCAACGACGGAAATGCTCTGTCAGGAGACTGTGCTGCAGTAAATTCAGTCAGTGCGTTTTTGTGTTTATCAACAAGCATGTTTTAGTCATGCTGTTGTGTTGTGCTGAGATTTTTAATGGAAAAATGCCAAGATTTCCACATAGCAAAGCTGCACTTAAGAAGATTTGTTTAACAAATTCTGGGCTAGTGTGTTAAATTTGGATATCTGGGACATTGTCCTTTATTTTGAAGGTGGTAAAGTTAATCGTCAGCTTGGTTTACAAGCTTGGCAACAAACTCAAAGTTCTATGTAATTAAAAATTATGAGCTGCAGTTGTTTGTTCTTGCACAAACTTACTTATAAATCTTGATGTCAGGTGCTATGATGTGATTTCCCCTGAAGAAAATGTCTCTTCTACAAAATTGATTCATTCATACTGAACAAATGTATTTCCTTTTCCATAAAAATATCAATTAAGCATGACATTTATAATTACTAAATTATTATAAACGCTCACCATTAGTAAGCTTTAGTCTTATAGTCTACTGTCTGTCATTAGGGTTGCATTATTATGCTTGGGGATAAAAGTATTAACAAGGATTTAAAATTTAAAAATGACTGCCTTTGACCTTGAGGGTGTTTGGCAGGGAGTTTGTTCAAACCAAATGTTTCTTGGTGGGAGAAAATTCAAAATGTTCCTTGAACCTCCCACCAGAAGAAATGATGAAAGCCACTTCTGTTAATATGTTTCACATGTTCTCTCTGTCTCTCTTTATGTGTATGCGTGTCCACTCAGGAGCACTGTGCTACGCTGAGCTTGGCACCATGATCACCAAATCAGGGGGAGAGTACCCATATCTAATGGAGGCTTTTGGTTCCCTTGTGGCCTACCTTTACTCCTGGACCACAGTCATGGTGTTGAAGCCCTCCTCCTTCGCCATCATCACACTGAGCTTTGCAGAATACGCCTCCACTCCTTTCTACCCCGGCTGTACCCCTCCTCTTGTTGTTACCAAGAGTTTATCAGCAGCAGCTATATGTAAGTTTAACTTTAATCCTTGTGAGTTAATGGTTAAAACCACTTAACTGCACATACAAAAGTAGTCTTTGTAGAAGTTATTGATTGTGTTTCTGACATTAAAACTGAACTGGCCACTCAATTCTTTCCTCAACAAACTTCTGTAAATCATGAAAAACTGTGTTTCTGAATTACAGGGTTAACTGATACTGTAAATATAATCCCAGTGGAGTGGTGAAAAGTAACAGCAAACCAGCCAGTTTACCAGTTTTGCCATTGGTAAATTATTCAAAATTACCTCAAAGATTAATTAAAAATGACTTTGCAAACTGCAAATATGAATAAAAATTATTCATTATTAAAATAAAGCTGACCTGGCCACAGATATACTGTATGCTCAGAACAGATTTTTCCTATATGGGTTGTACAACTATAAAAACAATACAATCAACATTATGCAAACACTTTAAGAATTAACTAAGAAAGGTGTTATAAATAACGATTCTTCTTTGATAGAATCCATTCATTTCAAATGTCAAAGTGAGAATGATGTAATGCATATTATTACATTTCTTTTTTTCTTCTCAGTGTTAATCGTCTCAGTCAACTGTTTGAGTGTCAGACTGGCAAGCTATGTGCAGAACTTCTTCACTGCAGCCAAACTTTTCATTATTATTGTCATAGTGGGAGCTGGCATTGTTCTCTTGGCTCAAGGTGGGTTTTCTTATATGAGTGTTTTTGATGTACAACTCTGCTTTTAAAGTTTTTGTCCTTTGATGAAATGTTTAATTATAATGATTTATTTATGTATTGTCATGTGTTTGTCTCCAGGAAACACTGAGACTTTGTCAAATGCATTTGATGGAACAACATCTTCTGTTGGAGCAATTGGACTTGCGTTTTATAATGGGCTGTGGGCTTATGATGGATGGTAACAGTCATACTTCACTTCATTTTGCTCTTTTAACATGTAAAGGATTGACCACTCTATAAAGTAATGAACTAAAGTGCCATTTCCTGCTGTACTGACTTGATATAAGGAGCACTGTGACCCCACACTTATGCTTTTCTTCATATGGCAGTATGTTTTCCCCAAGGTACACGACAATATAACAACACATGAGCCTGCCTTTAAGCTGCTCTCTTGCCTCGGCCAACTTTCTTGTTATCTCCAGAGTAGGCCATATTCCACGCCGTGCAGTTATTGAAACAGTTAACCAGGAGAGCTAAATTCCCTCAGACCAGATAGCATACCTTTTTGAGCCCAGACACAAGACAGTGCAGTCGACCTTAGTGATGCAACTATCATGATTCTTTCAGATTTAATGGCAGCAGTTCCCTCAGTTGTTCCCTTGGGTCTTGTGCATATAAGATGCATTGGTATAGCCACAGCACACTGTCTTACTATATTTAGCTATACTGGAACAATGTTTTTCTTTATCTTTACTGACTCTGTGCTTGCACAGTAAATGATGTCTGTTGGTTTAGTGAGGTGTTTGTGCATTCCAGAGCACCAGCAGGTGAAGCAGGTGAAGCCTGTCACCACCTTCTTGCTGATGAACATGATTAGTGGCGTGTCACAGTTACTAACCATTTTGGGTTATCAGTTATTTTCTTGTCTGTCTGCGCTGTAACATTGAGGTTTCCACAACAATGCCTGTGTCTCTTGTGCTGTGACCAACTGGGAGTCTTTAGTTGGCCTCCCTCCATCTTGCCCTCAGCACAGGAATGTCAGAAAGAGCATGGTTGCCTGACTGATGTTCTTTGTACTGTTTGTGGTCAGTTTTGAAGTGTACGTCCACACTCGCTTCCAGTTACTTTTTCTGAGGGGACCTGAAAAGGTGGTTTAATGTGACTGATACGCTTTAATTTTTTATCTCATGTTGGCGTTATAGCAGGGGGTGCAAATGTCAGGCTACAACCCTTTGTGCTGATAGGGCCAATTAGAGGGTAAAGCCTGTGTGAAATACCATAAAAACACCATGTCACTGACACTGAAGCTGGTGAGGGGGCACTACAGTGATCCCTTACATAGGGTCAGCACTACAAGTAGAATTAGAATTGTCTGGATGGCCAGGCAAGTGCAGGTAAATCTTTGCGTTGCTCTGCAGAGGATAGCGATCAGGTCTTTAGAGTTCACAGCTTGGCTTAGCCCTTATTAGCAGTGTGCTACCTTCAAAGTAGACCCACATGTTCCTTGTGTTTTCACTCCATGTTTTTCCCCAGGAATCAACTGAATTTTATCACAGAGGAGCTGAGAGACCCATTCAGGTGAGACAAACTGCAACTCATCGTTAAAAGGCTGCAGTTTTAAGGAAGACGTCCCTCTATAATTCAAGTCTAAACTTTATCAAAAATGTGTTTTTCTTATTCATTGAAATTATATTATGGTATTATATATGGCATACAAAGTCAGCGTAAACATATAGGTAGGCCGTACACTCTAATAAAGTGCACTAGAGTTCATACAAGAGGGCAAGTTTTTGAATAGATCATTTATATTAACTTGAGCATGTATATTGTTAAAATTTGCACAATATACAACATGTTTCCTTTTTAAATAGATTTTTTTTTTTGTCAATTACTATCAGGAACTTGCCACTGGCCATCCTCATTGGGATCCCCTTGGTTTCTGTGTGCTATGTGTTGGTCAACGTTGCTTACTTCACTGTGATGACCACCAATGAACTCCTGTTGTCTCCAGCTGTGGCTGTGGTAAGAAGCACAGAAGGCTGCCACAGTTCCAGAGAAGCTGAGAGCCATGGATAGCTATGGAGTTCATAATGACTTGTCAGTCTGGTGTTAAATTTAATATGTGTCATTTATCCCAGAGAATTTTAGATTAAACAGCTCAGTATTGTTTTACTTGTCTTTTCTAAAGTATATGTTTGTGCTTCGTTAGACTTTCGGTGACAGAGTCCTTTACCCTCTGTCTTGGATCGTTCCTCTCTTTGTTGTCTTCTCCACATTTGGTTCTGCCAATGGAAGCTGCTTCACTGCCGGCAGGTAAAAGAGACAACCGTTACATTGTAAATGAAATACACATGCTAAAGAATGCATTTTTGTGTGCATAAAATGATGTATTGCGCATATTTGTGTGTGTGGGAAAGAAAGCACAAAGCGTGAAGGTAAAAGTGAGAATACTGAAGTGTGTTAAAGATGGAAAAACTTGACAGACAGGAAAGAGGTAGAAATAGAAAAACTCAAGAATACTCAACATTACAAAACATATTTCTGTCTTTCTCTTCCCACAGACTGGCCTATGTATCTGGCAGAGAGGGTCACATGGTGAAAATCTTATCTTATATTAGTCTAAAGCGCTACACCCCATTGCCTGCTCTCATATTCAACGTGAGTACTGCATAATTAATAATTTGATGAGTATGTATGTATATTTCACTTTGGTTTTACCATCTGACTTATTTAATGTTAAAATTTCTGCATGGTCATTCATCGTGCTGAATAAGGTTTATTGCTCTTAAAAACTGCTCATATAAGTTCAGATGAATAAAGTGTCCACTGTGTTGTTTCCCTTGATGTAAACACAACGTTTCTCTTTCTCTGCTTCTCACCGTTTGCTTTCTCTTATTGTTTTATGTTTTAGGGTGTTTTGGCTATTTTATATATTATCCCAGCAGACATAAACACCCTCATTAACTACTTCAGCTTTGCTCAGTGGGCGTTTTATGGTTTGACAGCACTGGCTCTCATAGTCATGCGTTTCACAAGGACGGAGCTCCACAGACCAGTGAAGGTGAGGCTTTCTGATTGAGGCACAGCCTTTGGAGTCCATTCCTCTTTTACACTGATTTATCCTGACAGCTGTTTTGTTCAAGTTATTGAATTTGTTAACTGGAAATTGTAATCTGTACCTTTGTACACATTAACAAAAGTCATGCAGCATCTAACACCGTTTCTGAAATGGCTTCAATTGATTGCTGCTGGAGCGCTGTAAAAGCATCACTGACTGAATGGTAGTGAGACAGTGAAGTCATTTACTGAAGAGATGAATCTAGACAACATTGTCAGCTGGACAGATGTGACCCAATCAACATTGTGTAATAGCAACCACAAGAAATGCAAATGCAGAACCCATTTGAAGCTTGATTTGTCTCAAATAATAGGTTGGGCCTTTAAAATACCCTACGGATATGTGTGTTTTTACTTTAAAAATGTACGTTCATAGTGTTAAGTTTAGACAGGAAGACAGGAATAAAGTATTCCTCCATATAACCCTGCAACTATCAGACAGCAATCTTGAATACTTTCTTTAAGTAGTTATTTGTAAGTTTTCCTACTGCTACATAGCTAACATTAGCATTAACAGCTGTTTACTTACCAGTCTCTATCACGTATTTTATTCAACTGAAGTTAGCATGCTAACCACCTAGCCCCAGTCCTTCTCATCCCTTTCCAATAGCGACTCACTACAGCCTCCAACCTGCCCTGAAGACGTAGCACTGCCCAGAGGTCGCATTATAACCTTGTGTCTTGTAAATGCAATGATGGCTGAAGCTCTTGTCAATCAACAATCACCACCACCCACTCCCAGCAAGAAACCACGTTTGGTAGCAGAGAAAACTTACAAATAGCCCCTTTCAGAAAATTGAATAGATATTCTGTATCACTGATCGGAAGCAGAAGTAAAAACCAAACACTTGATCCTGTGTAACTGTGTGATTACTTGAAGGTGCCGATTGTCATAGCAGGCCTAATGGTGCTGGTGTCATGCTACTTAGTCCTTGCCCCCATCATTGATAAGCCAGAGCTGGAGTACCTCTACTGCACTATCTTCATCTTCAGCGGACTTCTCCTCTACTACCCTTTCGTCCACCTGAAGGTCAACTGGGCACGCAAACTCATGAGTAAGTTTACTTTTCATTTTTACTGAAATTCTGGACCTGAGTTTCAGAATTCATGTATTGAAATATTTTTATTATATTCTCTTGGCAATCAGTAGAAAATAAAATGTGAAATAATCTGCTCAAAATAGTAGAAAACAAATTCATTAAACACAGTGTCATGTTGTGCTGACCCCATGGTGAACCCACTTGATCAGTGTTGGTGTGACCTTTGACCTCCATTCCCCTGTAGGGCCCATTACTATGCATCTCCAGTTGCTGATGGAAGTAGTTCCTCCTGAGACAACTGAATGAGACAGAGCTGACGACAGGGTTAACTTGTGCTGCTTGACTTGAAACATGTCAGGCTTGCTTCTGGAAACAGTGGGCTGGAAATTTGGTACCCGCAGTTGGGATCAGAGTCGTAAAATCAGAGCTTCACTTCTGTTGAAAAGCTGCGTGACAAAAGTTAAAGTGCATGTACTGTGTTCATGAACCTGTTACCAGCGCATGATGAAATCATGTGTCATTTGGGTTCAGGGCCAGAAAAAAAAGAGGATTCTTGTTTCTAGAGTGTTTCCCACAGGAATACCTCTGCTGTCATTAAAGTGTACTTCTGTAGATATTAAAACAAAAGAGCCAGATCGACCATATTCTGATTATGTCCTTCCCCACATCACTTACTAAATCCTTCCTGTGGTGATAGGCTACAACTGAAGGATGTTTGGTTGTTTGGTAGGATTTCTATGGTGAATATAACCAGCACAGTATAACACTTAAGCAGTCATGTCAAACATTTACATGTAGTCAATGTTCAATGAAGTTTTCCTGTGCCAAAGATCACTTAAGGTAGAGCAGCTAGGAAATAGATGTACGCATGAATCTGCAAGTGAGCAAAGGGAAAAGGTAAACGTTTAAAATGCATTAAGGAAATGACATGAAAGCCCAGCAGATCATGCAACGAGATGTGGAAACATTTTTACTTTCTGTAATGATGTTTGCGCATGATTTAATTAATAATGCTCTCACTCCTATCTTTCACACTGGAATATGCTAGAAGAGTGGTGCATTGTTATCTGCTGTTGAAAGGTATTAAGCTTGTTGAGAATGAAGTGGATATGGGAAATAAACAATTTTCCAGCAAATACCTCAACTGTGTCTTCCTGACCTGACCTGCTGATTTATCATTTTAAGAAACAGTGTTAGTATTATCTCCCGTGGTGTACAACTGTCAAGTGTGGATGTGTGATTATGAGATATAATAGGTGCATGTGCCTGGTGGTGCTTAAGGTTATGTCTTATCTCATGTCTCATAATTCAGGTAACAATCATTGGAAAACACAGCAGCAAAAGTGAGGAATATCACTCTGAATACAAGTAGTAGTGTCAGATTTAGTAGAATCAGACTGAATAAAAACAACATAAAGAAACTTGCAGAGGGACAATGAGGCAACTCAACCCCTGCATGTATTTTTGGCTGAGCCCTCTCAAATAGATAACTGGTCTTTGTTGCCCTCTAGTGGCACTTAAAGCTTCAATCTAGAGTCAAACTAGAATTTCCGATGTGCGATCCCTGGTGTAAAAGTGAAGATTTTCTCCAGTAGGTGCCAGTAAATTTGCATTGGCTGCGCTGAATGAGAGAACATTTGCAGAGAAGCTGCTTACTAACTTCAGCCAAATTCTGCTGGAACTGTCTGTAGAAGCAGCATGTTGGTTGTGAGGCCTGTTGTGTTTGGATCTGTTTAAATTTGCATGGTGTTTTTGGTAAAGAAAGCTGTTGTCCTGCAGAATCAACTCAACAGGTCCCACATGAAGGCTGAATACATGTTGACAAAATACAGGGCTCTCTCTCTCTCCTGGCACTGAGCAGCTCAAAGATGAGATTTGTGATTCTGTGCACATTGCTCTGACATAAAACAAATGAAGGCTTACTCTATCATATCTGTTCCTCCTAAATTTTTGAGTTTTTGAAATGTTGCACTGAGTATATGTGAGCAGTTGCATTCTGTTTCATCACTTTTTAATGGGCACTGGGTCCCAGGATGAAAGAAACAACATTTTCCATTTGGATACCAGGCTTTACCGGTCTTTATGTGGTGTTGGTGCTTTTGAGATGATGCAAGACGGTTCCCCTTTCAGTGTCAGTGGAGTTTAGGGATTTGATGGCATTACAGGATGAGTCCACTTATTTGTGAACTATAACTATTCGTGTTCAGTGATCTATCCCCAAACTCCCTTAGATCACAGAGAGATGTGAATTGTGGTTCTGTTGGACATACAATGTGCAATGTCTCATTGCTTGACAAAGAGGCATCATTTACTGCATCCTAAAGCTGAGGGTGTTGGGGGCAGGTGAAGCAGTATACTTCCCAGTTCAGTGCCATGAATATAAGCCTGCTATATAGGTCAGATCAAGTTTTTAAAATTCTAGGTAAAAGATTATAAGTGCATCAGCAAAATTAACTTAAAGTATCAACAGTAAAAGCAGTGGTTCTGCAGTGAAATATCTCTTGCAACTGATATATTATCATATAGAACATAGATTGTTAATACCAATGCAGCAATGTTTAAGACACACTTTACTGTTATAGTAAATTAACAGTGGAGCTAGTTTATCTACTTTAGATACAGTTAGGTTGTTAAATCCAGTGGTCCAAGAGTCATTAGATAAACCTGGGGGGTCATGAGATGATGAATGGAAGAAGAAAGAAGAGAAAACAAAATTATGCTATAAACATCTGTCTTTATTTTTCAGACTTTTCTCTGATCTTTGCTTTGTTGTGATATATTGGAAAATTTGACCTCTTTGGGCCTAAAACAGTTCACTGAAACTATCCGAGAAGGTCCGAAGGTTTCTTAGGTGCAAACAACTCGTAGAGGTCTGGACTGTGGTAAAGGGCCCCAAGTTGACACTGTTTTTTTGTAAAGGGTAATAAGATTTATGAGTTTTTCTTAAATGCAATATATTTAATCTTTAAACCAACTATTAAATGTGAGATGAGAAAAAAGCACAATATGTGGGTGCAAGAACCTCCAAATTTTACTGAAGTACAGTTCTTCCACTTCCAATCTATTTTCCTTTGAGAAGAGATTGTACATACAGCACCTAATGTTAGTTTGAATTACAACTCAAACATGCACAATTTCACATGCTCATGCATTAGCTTTTCAGGCTGTACATCTTCAGTTCTAAACTTTTCTGAAAGGCGAACTGGTCTCGTAAGCTGTAAGTGCAGTTGCTTCCGTCTATTAATGACTAACTATGGCGTGTCTTAATCAAACTTTGCAAGAGTGCAGTGGTAGATTGATTGAACATTAATATGCAAAATATTCTGATGACAGTGAATGTGCACTCTAACATACACACATTCTGTACATATGCATGCAGCCTTGCATTGAAACACACACACCCACACACACGCACACACATGCACACACACACGCGCGCGCACACACACACACACACACACACACACACACACACATACACTCAAATATCATCTCATTAATGGATAGACAGCTCTGATGAGAACTCATCTGCATATCATTTTCATCACATTACTGTGCTTTTCCAATCAGTTACTGAATTAGCATTTGGATTAGAACCTCGCAATCATTAAACGACCTTTCCAAAAACTGTATTATAATGTGTCACTAATGAACATATGCTACAAATGAAGTCTGTGATTGTTCTGATTGTTTTGGGATTATCAGAAATTGTGCTCCAGGGAATGAAAAGTATTTTGTTTTCGATTTCAATATATATATTTTTCCAAGGCTAGCTCAAGGTTTATATCCATGATATTTGACTTGACTTATGCACTTTGCTCAACTGTGTATTTTTTTAAATATTATTTTAGACTTAATGGTTAGAAGTGCCCCTAATTTCAGAGCTTAACTGTAAAGTGGCTCTAGAAAATGCACCCAGCTCACTGATTTGGGCACCTGCAGGCAGAGTAAAGTCAGAGTGAAAAATAACATTTTTGTAGAGTCCAAATACAGGTGGGGAAGAGAAGCAAGTATCACTTAAACATCCAGCAGAGGAGTCTATTTTGTCAACATGACCTGTTTTCCTCCATTGGAGGGCACACTTGAATAAGCAGTGGCAGTGAAGTGAGCCACAGCCATTTCACTGTGATCCTTTTACAGCAGAGAGATCCACATCCATTTTTCCCAGACATGGTCCCCAGATTTGAGGCTCACCCCCACCTGGCACTGCTCCCAGAAATGTCCTGGCATTGCCTTTAGTGTGAAGAAAATTATGAAAAAATGCTTTTCATTTGAATTATTATGTTTCAAATGACTGCTCTCTCACAAACGTCTCATTTATAACTTGTCTGGCAGTCTCTCTCTTGCCATTGTGAATGTCCGTTTGTCTTTTTTTTTTTGTCCAGGCAGATGCAAGGCCGATTTAAAGCAAAACTATATGACTATTGATGAATAATGTCACTTGTGGCATATATGGGGTAATGTAGAATGTTGAATCTAGCACAAGCATAAAAGAAATAATCCAGATCTGGTGGGTGAAAATGGTTGGCATTGTTGGAAGTATGGCACTCTACTGAATGCCATTCTGGTTGCTTATGAATTCAGTTTTTCATTGTGAGAAGATGAATGTGTTGCAAAACTTACATAGTCTTACTACAAATGGGAACTGAGACAATGATTAAATCTTGGTGAAGTATGTGTGCAAAGCTTTACTTCTGCTTCATGATATTTCTATTATGATATTGTCTTTTACTGTAAAAGCAAGAACTAGTAAAATAAACTAAGTACTACATTTAATTTGAGGTTGCCTTTCTCTCTCACAAACACACACACACACACACACACACAAGATAAACCTGCTCACTGATCTTAAAAATGTGCATTTCTGTGTTTGCTCCATGTTTCAACCATTTCCAGGTATGGATGAGTGGAACCCAAGGCGTAGGATACTGCTGCTGATAAATTGTTAATGACATGAGGTGACCTCTGTTTTCTCTGCCAGCTTAAGGGGGTTTTACAATTAAAATGACTTGTGCAATGACTCCTACATCACTTAGTGGAGAGACAATTCATTAACCTGAATATCTGGGTGACTTTTTTTTGTTTATACTGCCATCCCTTCTCTTTCTCTTTTTGTATGCATGCCGTCTCTCTTTGTGCTCCATCCATCTCTTTCACTGTCTTCCCCTTGTTAACCTCTTCCCTGCCTCTCTCTCACTCACATCTTCTCTCTCTGTGCAATCTCACACATGCTCTTCCTCTCTCTCTCTCTCTCTCTCTCTCTCTTTGTCCTGCCAGGATTTTCTCTATATTTCCTTTGATCTTTCTCCTCCTCCACTTGCCTCGCCCTGTTAAGGCTCTTCACCAACTTTAATTGAGCAACTTAGAGATCAGTGGCTGATGCCATTGCACAGTTACTCACAGTGAAACCACAGTTGAACATACTTTGTATATACCGTGTATGAGTGTGTGCGTGCACAAAATACTAAATGCAAGTTGAGGTATTTTGCGTGTAAGTGTTCATACGTACATACCAAATTTGTATGCACATATATGCCCGACTGTGTGTGGAAATGTCAGGGATCAGGAATGAAATTCAGCATATAAAAAAGTGCTGCTTGCTAATTGTGTTTCTGTGCATGCTCCACTCTTGCACCCGCTGTAGTTTCTGGCTGTTTAGCGGCTCTTTGATCAGCAGATAGGGAGATGGTAGGGAGGCTGGTTATGCTGGCTTCCCCAGCCTGATGCACGGGTGGTTTCACTACACATTCTGCTCACAGTGGGAGGCTGGGCTGCTGGTGTGTGTCTGTGCATACGTTTGTATGTATATTCCAGAGCAAAAGAGTGAAAGAGCGACAGAGGAACAAGTGCTTGGGCAGAAATAGGTAAAGAAAGAAATTGTTTGTGGTTTGAGAGGGAATAATTAGTCTGGGGGTGGGGGGGCATTTTGCCTTGAATGAAGGAGTGCAAACAGCTTGTACAGGCTGCCCAGCAGGGTCCTCTCTGATGTTTATCCTGTCTGTGTGCACTTCTAAACATTGCCTACAGCCACTGCTGCTTCACAGCCAAGTTATGATCTCTCAGCCCCTTGTCAAAAATTGTTTCCCTCATCTGTCATCGAGGATTTCTGCAGCAGATAATGCCACATTGATAAAAAAAAAAGAAAAAAAGAAGCATTTGTTCTCTGCATCATTTCACCAAGTTCAATCAGCATACAACAAATTCAATATCCTACATTACACTGCGTTGCCAAGTATTTCTCAAAAAATGCAGGTGGGGGAAAGACAATGAGACGAGAGCATGAACCTGAAATAATGATTTGAAGCAGAGTGCATCAGCTGTCTTCCACTCCATTGTTAAAAATATCCCAAAAACCTGGTCATGAGTACATGCCATGATTAGATATCTCGTCCAAATAGCATTTATTCAAATCAATAATTCAGTTTTCACACTTATCTCATTAAATTAGGTAATCTTGTTTTCTGAAAACCCCCCTTTGGAGCAAATCTACAAGCTGTGACATGTTGCTTGTCCTCCAGTCAATAAAAGCCAGCCTGCCTATCTGTGGATGGCATTAATAGATAAGAGGGACTTTCATTTATGGACAAATGTGCTCACATAGATTTCCCATACAATCCATTTTTAGCATGTAGTAGAGAGCCTGCCTTTCATATAAGCAGCCATGAATCAACTCTCTTTATCGACACAGAGTAATGACAGTGTATAATCAGCGTGTATTGTACGGGCTGTGATTTGTTACTAGACATACAAATACAAAGATATGTTGTTTACACAGTGGGCTGTGAAATTACCGGACAGACACCTTGGATATTCATTAGACCGTACTGGGTTACCCCAAACATTAATAAAAAGCACTGCAAAAGTACTCCACCTTTTCACCTGTAACACAAACACGATTACGTGATGTTTCACAGATTATCAGAACCTCTGCTTCTTTGATGTGAGCCATGGGAAAATGAATCTGGGAACTGCCCTCATGGCAGAAACTCTTTTTAAAGAACAAGCCTTGAAGGAGCAGTTGCTGTATCAAGGAAAATTTTCTCTGCATTTTCACAGGGCGGTAGCGCTGTCTCTCAATGTAAGGAGCAAAGCCTGCAAAATACCCCTATCCCCATATCCCACAGTGAGTAAGAGAGGGGTCAAGAGACAGCCAATGTAAGCTGTCATGCTGGATCCGATATGAAATAGAGGCTTCTACATACATATCAAAGATACTCCACATGACAAGGGATACAGTGCTCAACATGTGATTACACTATTCCTGGTATCTTCAGTGAGCTGAATTTACTAACCTGTGTTTGATCCAGTGTCTAATTAATTCCTTAAGTTCTTGTGTTTATTGCAGGGGAGGGTATACGATATGTAAGGAGAGGGGATCTGTCTTTGAAGTGGTGTTCAGCAAATCTCTAGAGAACAACTGAGCCCGAGGCTGGACTCCGGCTGTGGGGAGAGAAGCAACAACCACTTTTCCACTGCAGGTCCAAAATTGGGGCTTGCCATGGCCATGTTTGCTACACTGAATTACCATTGTTATTTGTTTATTTCAAACAATATATACCATCAGAAATATAATGTCTTAAGGTGGCAAAATGTCAACAGAGAAAAGACTGAGACTGAGCAGCAAATAGCAACTAGGCCTTTGCTAGCATTGTTTAGTCCTGGACTGGAATATGGGCTTTTTGCAATTCTGAAAAAGGAGATTCTGCAGTCCTCTGCAGTATACCCCTCCCTGTGCCTAAGTAGCTAATGAACTATCAGCTATCCATCTTCATTCCACCCAGGGCACACTTGTCCTTCCCTGCAGACAGAAGCTACTTCTTGGCAGGTCTTGCTAAGGGGAATCCAAACCTCCTGGCTCTCAAGAAAAGTACTGCTTTCTTCTGAAAGTCATTTTGAGGTGACAAACCAAATTCAGCTATAGCCTGCTGTTGTCGTAGTAGTACAGTACCGACAATATTTGTGAACATGAAACAACCCCATTCCCAAGCTGCCAACAAGACAGTGTAACAGGTTTCAGTCTTCATTTGATATTTTACAGTTTACAACACTGTTGTACACTGTTGAAGTGATGACAGTTTACAGTCTCTGCGTTGTGTTGACGATGGTGATAGACGGTTGACGACTGACTCCAACGAACTGACCCAATGTCGATTCGGTGATTTTTTAATTTAATTTAATTTAATTTTTTTTTGTATTATTAACTATTCAGTCAGTACAAGACATATGTAATCAAAGGAAACTTACAATACTAATAAGGGAACTGTAGTCAAGTTCGGTAACCATTGACTAATAAGTTATAGGGCTAAGGCCAATGGTCTAACTCAAACCAGGATCAAACAATCTGTTGCAAGTTATAAAGACACGACCAATACAGATGCATTAATACACATAGACAATCATTCTGGAAGTTTAGTTTCTAGACCATTCTAGTAAGTCCAGTGTTGCTGGATGAAATTTAGCAGGACACCTGTACTTACTGGGATGCAACGGATGTTCTATGGGGTCTAAGTCTGGATTTTGCTGAGCCACTCAGGAACAGTCAGAGACTTGTCCTGAAGCCACCCCAGCATTATCTTGGCTGTGTACTTTGGATCACTGTTGTGCTTAAGGGTGAACCGTCATTCCAGTCTCAGGTCGTGTGTACTCTGGACGGTGTTTGGACTTCTGCCCAAAGGGTTCAATTTTTGTCTCATCAGACCAAAGAATTTTCTCCCTTGTACTCTCAGGGTCCTTTAAATGCTGTTTGCCAAATTGGTTCCAAATTTCTTCGATTCCACAACCATAACAATCACAGCCTTAGCTTCAAAGCCAAATGGTTTTAGACACTTGCTCTGATCTACGCCTCACCACAATTTTATCGAGGAGGACTACAGAGAGTTCTTTGGACGTCATGACTCAGTTTTTGTGCTGAACAGTGAATTGTGGGACATACAAAGGTGTGTGCCTTTCTAAACATGTCCAGTCAATTCAGTTTGCCACAGATGGACTCCTCTCAAGTTCCAGACACATCTCAAGGATAATTAAAGCACACAAGATGCACCTGAGCACTGGTGAGCTGCAGCAAAGAGGTTGAATAGTTTTGTAAATGAAAGATCTCAGTTTTTCAATTTTAATAAATTTGCAAAAAATTCTAAAAACATTTTTTCACTTTGTCATTATGGGTTACTGAGCATAGATTGGTGGTCAGAAATGGCAGTTTTGTCCATTTAAAATTAAATCTACAACACAATAAAGTATGCAAAAACTGCAGGGGTCTGAATACTTTCTGAAGAGACTGTGTGTTTTTCCTTTGACAAATCACAGTGTGCAACAACGTGTGCAGTAAGTCACAGTAAGCCTTTTTCACAGCAGGAAAGAAAGGAAAGCACAGGTGTTACAAATAACAATGGCTCTGTTCTATCCAAGTCTGAGTATGCCAGAACAGTGTGACAGTGAGCCAGCATGAACAATACACTGAGCCAGTTAAATGGAAGTCAGTCATCATTAATTTAATTATTTACACCTGTGTATTCCCTACTGTGACATCAAAATATCTCCAGTGACAAAGGTCAATTAGTTTTCATAACAAAGGTTAAATTTCAACCTATTGCTAATTAAATTCGGCTAACACTTAAGACGAACACTATGCGGGTGGGGTATATATATATATATATTTTTTTTTTTTTCTTACAATAACTCTGCTAATACATCTGCTACTAACTTTAGGAAGCAGAAGCCGTGCTTCTCAAAGATAGTTCAGTAAAGGCATATTACTGTGGAAAAATAGACGAAAGTCAGTATTCTACTCAAAATATTCTTGCTAACTACACTAAACACTACCAATGTTGTTGTGGAGTTTCCAGTTGCAGGAAGATAGTTTTGTATGGATCATACCATGTTAACTCAAGCACTTCTCAAAATCGAACCTTTAAAACGTATTACTTACTGAGTTCCAGTGACATTTTAGCATGTACAATGGTTAGAATTATTATATCTCTATTTTTTTGGTACTTTCTATTCAGCACAGACACGTCAGTGAAACTTTTGGCTGTCCAGTTACCCACACGTCTCCCCTCTCTGGCATTGGTTTGTCCCTCACTCCAGCTGATCGGCCCAGGATTCCCCGGTGGCTCTAACCGTTGGTAGTTCTGACGGCTTCGATGTCTTGACGACGATTAAAACTGTTTGAATTTTACGGAGTCAGTGGCCGCTCGTGTCGGCAAAATTGTTCCTCGTTCAGTGAAAGTCTGAAGGATAATCTGGCCGGGGTATTAACTCTGTACCAGGGGATCTAAACGCATATACGAGGCCCTCACTCCATCCCCGGATTCACCTGCTACGCGGAGAGCCTCGCACCGAAGACCGACATGGGGGACACGGGGAGCGAAGGCAGCAAGCCTCCCAGTAACGTTAACGTTATACCTCCGCGTTGCCCCTGTGGCTTCTGGGGGTAAGGCGAAATACCTCTCAAATGTCTTTCAAATGCTTTCTTCCTCTACCGACAGTTAGCACAGTCGCTAGCCACTAGCGTTAGCAGCTCAAACAGGGATGAGCTGCTTTTCTTATTACCCCCCCTCCCCATTGTTTTGTAGCATTAGCTGCTAGCTAACACAAACTGGCCTCGGTAACCTTCTGCGGAGGAAGAGAGCAGGGTAGGGGTGTGGGATAAGCCCTCCAGGTAATGTGACAGGTGTGACAGCGCTAATAAAAACCGTCCAGTTTAAAAGGAGTTCGTAAATGAAGCAGCTGGCTCGAAATACCACACTGAGATGTTAAACCTTAAACTGGACTTTCGTGGAAACTAGGAACTGATGGTTTTGCCAGTTCAGATTGGCTGTAAGGTACAATATGTGCTAATATACTGACCAGTTGACTCGGTATCTTACTTTAAGGTTTCTGAAACATTAATCCTCATATGTACATTTTATCTTGTCAAGTGCACACATAGGTCCAGCTCAAAAAAGTCATATAAATCCAAGATACTTATTGACATGGGCATCACGTGATTTTTTTTTTTTAAGTGCTGGGCAGGTGTTGTACTTTAAATGACAGTGGTTAATTAAAATCATACAGGCCCATGAAGCACATTTTGGCTGTAATCATTATTTAAAATAGCACTAAAACATACTACGTAGAAATATTAAAAAATAATAAATGAAATGCTTTGTACCTTGTATTTGCAAGTTAAAATATATGTAATATAATGTAATTTTACATTTGTTTACTGTTGCAGGTTCGAACTTAAAGGTTATCATGAGCTAAGTTTTGTACTCAGGTCCCACTTTAGGTAGGGCTTGCTGTGCTATTTTTGTAAACACATAATATGGCTGATTTGTTGGACTTCAGTGAAATATATTTTTGCAGCCCACAGCTGTAGTCTTCAGTGTTCAACTCAGTTGTACAGGAGTGAAAGCAATTTGGCACCCAACCATGCCAGTGAAGACAATGGTCATCTACACATTATCTTTAATCATGTCTTTATTTAAACTTGAAAATTATTGAGGGTAAAGCCCTCATTTACAATGATGTCAATTATTCATATAAGCTATGAGAGCTACCCTAGTACACTCAATTACCTCATTCACTACTTGCATATTTTGGGGTGTGATCTATTTGGTGGTGACAGCTTACTGACTCATTGGTTGGATAAGCACAAAAATAATGTAAAACAAAAATTATTGTAATGTCAGGCACCAGATCTCAATGCCAGAGACCAGACTACAGTTCACCATATTTCCAAAAAATGCAGTCTGTATCAAAAATATGACATCTCTGTGTCTTGTTAGGGTAACAACATTAAACACTGAAAGTTCCATGTTTGCTCACTAAGTTGGTTTATTTTCTGTATGAGATGTCCTTCTCATTTCTAACAGGCTAGTATAACACTGTGAGGTTTTGCCCCAATTTTTTTGCCCCAATTTTCCAACTCTTTTGAGTAAGTCCACAATTCCCTGGCCCATTTTAGACAGAATGTCACAGCTGCACATGGACACTGATTATTTGATTTTCTCTCACTACTGTTGTCACTGTAACATCAATCTATCTGTCCCCATGTTGATATTTTATTTGTGCTGAATTTTGTAATTATATTCATTCATGTCATATTTCCTGAAAAAAAAAAGTTGGTCGAAATCACTTTTAAGTTGTGTAAATGCAGCAGATGTTTCAGTGCTGTGATGACAAGAGGCAGATTCAGGTGCATGGTTGTGACTTGCTCTGTGGTTCATAAACCATAATTGCATATGACATTTAGCAAGAGATGTCAAATTAATGTGTGTACTTCATTTGGTTATGTTCTCCTGAGAGCAGCAGGCTTGATTGTGTCTAGGTGATCTTTGACAGGGGAGACAAAGAAATAAGTGGAAAGTAAAGGTTTATTTACTCTTTTATTCACTTTGTCTCATTATGGTACCATAAAGGTGTCTCAGCCTTGTTTAGGTTGCCTGATTTGGTGGAGGAGAAGACTTTCTTTAATTGCATACAGGATAAATCTGAGCTACAGCTGAGTTTATTAATCACAAATATGTTTTTGTTGTACTTTGTACTGTTTCTGTTTTTTGAAGTATCTCATTTAATAGATCTAAGACGACTTCTTTACGGTCTGCTAGTGTTTCATGTTAGCAGTAATGCTTGAATGTTGCATTCCTTCTCCCCTCAGGTGTGGATTGTTTGTGTTGGCCTCAGTTAGTTGTATGCATGTTTTGGTGCAGCTCCTTGTCAGGGCTGGCAAGTGCAGCTTAACTGGGGCTTGTCTCACATAGCAAGTTGAACATAGTTCTGTATCTCTGTCGTGTCCAAAAAAAACAAAAACACATGGCTTAATACACACCTTGTTGCTACTGTAGTTAGCTGCTATGTTGATACTAAAATAGGTGTTCACTGGAGGACTCTTTTAACATTACATTTACTTTAAAGTTCAAATGCAGCTTTATCTTCAGTTTCATTTACATTGTCAGATAGGAAAGGAGACTTTTCTGCTCTAGTACACGTGGCACCAGAATATACTGTATTGTGATATACAAAGTTTTCTGGAAATTCAGTTGAGAAAGACATTACATATATAATAACCAGATTGGAGGGACTGTTTGTGGCTAATCCAGTGATTTTAAAAACCTGAAATGAAGGTAATAAAAATCCAATTAACCAGAAAGTAGTCTTGTTCAGTGATGAACAGTAAAACATTGCTGGCAATGTAATACATTTAGAAACATTAAAGGGATAGTTCCTGCATTAGATAGTGCCGACTGACACATCATCTCATGGTATATTGTTGTTAGTTAATTAAAGGGAACCTTCCCTATGTTGTTTTGACCTGTGCACACTGGAAAATAGGCGGCCATGTTGTGCTTTTGTTTCCTGTTTCAAGTAAACTGTGGGATACATGGGAAAGAAACTATTTCCTAAAATAGGGTTGTGCTGATGGACGATGATATCAGTGGTCGACGATCATCACGCCTTTGCAAATGTCAAGGCGATATTTGACTTGTTTTCCCATTAATCTGGTAACTTATTATTTGTAGTATTAAATTAGTACTAAATTTTATTTGCCTTCCACAGTTTAACATATATAATCACATATAACTGACGCTTGCCCCAGGTGCGCACACACACACACACACACTCCGATCAGCTTATTGTAATGGAGCTGCTTGTGTGTAGGAGCTGCTTTGTGATTACAGAGCGGAGGAGATCGATGGACAGACAGAGCACGTCATTTAGTTCATTTTCTGATCCTGCTGCTTTTTATGGTGGTAAATAGAACTTTTGGAGTCAATGAGGGAGAGAGGCAGCAAAATGGGACACATTCACTTTTTTGGTCACTCCTCTTTCTCTCTTGCTCATAGGGTAGTTCACAAAGTCCGGTTGATGTTTATATGCAGTTTAAGCAGTTGAAGATCCAATCATCACTAAGCCAGTATGTCATGTAGAGAGCAATAAAAAACAAATGAAATGGTCAAAGTTGTCATATTAATATTTGAGGTGCATTGATTGATTTCCAAATGTCAAACATGCATAGAGTAACACGCAAGGAAACATTCCACCTTAAAAGTAGCCAGTAGCTGCCGGTAGCCTCTTAGCTGCTCAGTGGATTAAATGGTAAATTAGTAAAGATGAAAAGACAGAAAACATCCTTTCATTCCTCATTCACTCGTGATGAAACTGTTTATAAAGTAGGCGAAATCTTTCATGAACATTAGCTCTACCTGTGATTAAGACAGGGCAAAGGAGTGTAATTGCTTGTTGACCGGCATGAACAGCCGTGTAGTCTGTACTTTACTATGTAAAACCTATTCTTTTTGATTTGGGATGCCCTTCATTTTCACAGTATTTGTGAACATGTATTCAATTAAATATGGGCTGAATTGGTTTCCAAGATGGAAGTTAGTGTTTTAAATTCTTAGTGGATGAGCAAGCAGGTGCTGCCTGTACAGTTGCTGTCGAAGGGCCCATAAGAACCACAGACTGCTGGACATGCTCTTACTGTGAATGTCGAACTGCAGAGGATAATCTCTCCTCCCTCTGTAACATAAAACTCAGTCGAGCCCTTCTGTCACTTTTTTTTTCTATCCCCAATAGATAAACCACTATCTAATAAAGTCTGTCTGTGAATACTCTATTAACAGACTAGTATCTGTATTTGTGAAGTGTTTTTTTAATTTTACTGTTCATGTCAGTAGTATTTCATAGAACTCAAAACATTTATCACCCATCCAAGCCTTTGCTCCATTGTGTCACTCAAACTGAATTACCAAGGTGACAGAGCCCATCTTCCTGCCTGTTCCAATCAGGTATTCTCATTAGTCACAGCAGTGGGCCAACTATGAAATAGACTGATTGTGAGCACTCTGTTCAAACTTCACTCAGCTTAACAAGCATGCAGTCGTTTTTGTCCTGCATGTTCTTTTTTCCTCAAACGTACTTGCCCCTTTTAGTTCCTTAATTAATCTGTGACTTGATTACCTCTGATTTGTAAAGTTGACAACAGGATATGACTTGTTGTTTATCCAGTATTGGCTCCTTCCCTGCCTGTGTCTCTGCCTGTGTTTATCTTTACTTCTTGCTTCCTCCTTTCTCTTTTATATCCAAGACCACACACCAGCAGACTGACAGACAGCCCTCAGGTTGACTGCAGCTGACCCTACATTTAGAAATGAGGACAAAGGTGTGCAACGAAGCACCCAAAATAAATAGAATGTGACTGATAGCAGCGACCGTCACGCTCGATGCGCAGACAGTAAGGGCGAGGGCTGGAGAGGAAATGAGAGGAGCCCTCTCAGAGGAAAGCCAGAGCCATCTGTTGTGAATGAGCTGTTCCACTGAAATCAGTGAGGCTTTAGTGACCAACCCCATAACTGCAGCTATTTCATATCAAAGATCTATGATTAGGATGGGGAAAGTATGTTTGGGAAACAGTACGAATTTTTCCATCGAAATACAGGAAATAACTCAATTAATACAGGCTTTTGTGAGAGCAAGTTAATGAGGTTTGTAATTTTCCCTTTTCTTGACTCTTGCACACCATCATCAGACCAGTTAAGTGGTTGTCATGTCAGCTGTGTAAATTGCCCACACAGGCTAGAGGACCTTCACATTTGTGATGGAAATCAACTCTTTGTTGCTCAAAATTGAGCCAATGTTTTCCACTGACATTTTCACCTCCAGTGCTACTACATTGTACAGAAATAATGTTCGTTTGCTAGACACAACTGATCATTGACCTTGACAGTTAGCTGTAACTATACAATTATATAACATATTGACCATTTCTCATAACTATAAAATGGGTAAAAAATAGAATTCCTGACAGATGTATGTAAAAATATACCAAAAATCATTAATAAAATATTTTAAAAAACAGGCAACAACATATGACTTTCATTCAGTTTATTTTAAAGCTACATTAAGAAGTTTTCGACCACAAGGGGGCAGAAAGAGTCCAAAACACATTCTCCTAACAATATTAGTTTTCGGTGCTGACTTATCAAGTTGTAATGTTATGAGTATTTACTGTGTAAATTTCACACTTGGGTTTTTTTTCTCCAATATTTAATATCTGTGCAGCAGTTGCAAGATGTATAGAACATGATGTAAACAAAAGTCACATCTCAGTTGGTGTGGCCTTGTGGCCAGTCTGCTGCTTAGACCTTGACAGCCTCATCTCATGGCAGCTTTGAATTCAGTGAATTATTTAGGAATGTAGTCTGGATCACACTCCTTATCTTGAATTTTTCTTTCCCAGGATCCCAAATGTGAAGTAAAGTCTCAGCCTGGGACTTGGGGTCATGGAAACATGTTGTTAATCTTGCTGTGTGGATATCCACCAGCAAAAGGCACTTGCATTTTTTTCTGCACCCTATTCTGCATTTTTTTGGATCTCTTACACAAGTGTATGACTTCTGTATTTGATTAACACATTTGCTTTCTCTGTCTGCTCTTTTCGTCAGGTCAAGCAAAACTATGAATCTTTGCTCAAAATGTTTTGCAGGTAAGTTCTTGTTTTGCTGGTTGTTTGGTTGACTGATCTTGTGTCTAAGTCTGGGGGTGGGGGTTTAAAACTGTCTCAACTGCTGTAGCTGTTCTGCAGAGGCCTTGGAAGTGATTAGAAGTGGAGAAAGAAGTCTGAGAAAGAAACTCAGGGGTAAAGTGCAGTGTTATGATCACTCACCCTTAACTCTGTTTACTGTACAGATTTTTAGTTTTAAAGTTTATAGTTTTATCATTTTCTCTGCAATAACTTGTATCTCACCTTTATCCAACTTGAATTTAACTTACCATTTCTGCTGCTTCTTTATCATCACCACTAAGGTGAAGATGTTTCCTTCCTAATCCAATAGTCTTTAGAAACGTTCAAGTTTCTAAAGTCTCATCAGAATATTTTGTCCCTTCTCACTCAGGCTTTAGTTCATCCTCTGACTAAATCAGTGCCAGAGTTAAGAGTAGAAAACTATGTCCATTTACATAAGGTTCAAACAATACTGTGTCAATGCAACACAGTTTCTGTGTGAATTTGAGCATCGTCCAAAATGCACCTCTATGCCACACTTGTTTTGCCTACTGCCTAACTTAACAACCACTCCATACTCCAATAGATGGATGCATTCAAATATGTACACACAAATGTCTCACCATTTGCCTTTTTTTCCATAGACATTCAGAAGAAACAGCCAGACAACGATTGTGCCCCAAAGGCCTCCTCAAGCTCCAGCAGCAGCCAAGCAGACATCTTCTGTAATGACACAAACAGCAGCATTAGTCAGTCACTGATGTCGATGCCTAACGCATCAGAGGACCCTTCACCAGGAGAGATGGGAGTGACATCTTTACCTGCTCAGGACGGTAAGACAGCAGTTAATCAGTGAGACATTAATCTTATCAGGTTTTCTTTTCACCTCAGATGGTGTAGGGCCAATGCCTCTTGATTAGCTCAGATCAGTGATTTGCCGTTAGCCATAGTTTGTTGTAAGATACATTTTTGCTCCCTCTGTCTTTGAATGCAGATAGTGGCGCACTCCCACTCTAAAATGCCAGAACTGCATGAAGTGTAGAACTTGAAGGCTTTGTAATATGGTCAGAGTATTGTAGCTTTTAGTTGAGGGTATCTTTCTGTAGAAGACTGCTACTAGTTTCTGCCAACTGAGGCTGCAGCTGCAGTGCCCCTGTCCCAGCTATATTTGTCCTCATGGCACAGATAGTGGGAATGATAGGAGAGGGTATCTATTCAGAAGTGAAGGTTTTAAGAGGACACCTACAATTGCCAGGGCATCCGTCATCACTGTACAGTGACAAGGTTATTTGCGGAGGCCAATGCAGGACAGAACAATAAAGTGGCTACTAGATGGATGTGTGGAGCTTGTGAAAAAACTTGCCCACAATATCTTGGTTCTCTGTTATAACAGGAGCTTTTTATAGCAATAAATACAAGTACCTGATGATTGCACATTTTTAGATACAGAGCTTTTGTTTCACTCACAAACTGACAAAATATTAATTTCATTGTTCATTTATTAATTTGCCATCAACAAGTTAAAATATTTAAGTTTAAAATTAATGACTGAATACCCATCAGCCTTTGAACCTCTGAGACTGATGGTAAAATATTATGTACATGTTACATATTTTTTTGTTTTTTAGACTCGTGTGCTGGCTCATGTCGGTCTAATTAGTCTTTGTCCGTGACAAAAATGACCATGGACTAATATCACTAAGAGAAAGTAATTGATACCGCCTTATTTCCTAAGGAAATGTTTAATGTCACCATTCTAGGAAAAAATCAAGGCGAGATATATGAGTTATAATTAGCAGTGTTGCAGCATGTATATTTCAAAAAGTAAAATGTGTAAATCTGACTTAATTTTTTTACTTTTAAAACTCTGTCAGGATCAGATGGATCATACAACTTTTTTTTTGGTATACCTGTAATCTTTTTTTCCCACCCACAGTTAGCCATCTCTCGACTGGCTTCAGTCTGCACACATGCATGTTGCAGACACTGTGGGGCGGGGAAATTACAATGTTTTAAATGGAGGAAACTTAACATCCTTATGTCCTCTCTCTTCTGCCATTTTCCTCTCTCATTTTCTCTCTCCTTCCCTTCCTTTTGCTCACTATATCTCCCTTTCAGAAGTATCCAGCACAGACACAGTCTTCGGTTCACTCTCCACTCCTACAAAACGCTCCTTTGAGTCAGGTATACCTCAGCTCTACTACTAAATTGTCCATTATTGTGTTTTGCACAGTGTGCAACCCAGTAACATCAGCAGCATTGAATTGATTAAAAATGGCCAGTTTAATTGTTCTTACCAGGGAAATAGCAGAGGGAAGGATGCTGGGGATGTAATAGAGCATGACTGCAAGAAGGTGAAATGTAAAGCCAATAAAGCAGTTAGTAGAGCGAATGCTGGCTGTGAATATATAGACAGATGCAGTAGTTACACAGAACAATAACCTAGACGTACAATGAAGCTTTAAAATTGTCAAGGTCACACAAAAAGGGGGATTGTAGCTCAGTGGTTAGGATCATCACATCACAGCAAGAAGAAGTTGTGTTTGATTCCATCAGTTTAAGAAAAAAAAGAAACGGCAAGTCTGACAGAGCTGAAACATGCAGACTTGTGGAGGCCATAGCATCACCATCAGTGTTGATTGAAAAAAGCTGAATGAGGTGGATGTCTGAAAAACATTGCAGACTCTGCTTTCACCCTTAGGTGACACAACCTGCTGCACTCACACACGTGAACACGTGCACATGACTTAAGACAACTGCAGAGTAGGCATGGCTCAGCAACGGTGTATGAACATGTTGATCCCTTGTCTGATGTAGCGGGATCATGTGAGCTGAGCACCGTACAATAACACACATGCTTACACAGCACCATTTAAACCTTCTGGTGAGCTGATGTTTCACTTTTTACCTTCCCTCTAGAAGTATTTCATTTTAAAGCCGGGGTACACTTTGGCTTTACCAGTCTTTTGAGAAACCTTTAACACTCTTAAATCAAAGCTATATTTTATCAATTTACAGTAGAAATGTCTTGATTTCAAATATCTATCTATTTTTCTTGGAACAGAAAAAAACCTTGCCAGCTGTTGACTCACAGTTAAATTTGGTGTTCTGGCCTGTATAAATTGGCTGCAGAGATTTATCAGGATAACAAAAGGCATGCGAGGAGGAAACCAATTTTTTTTTTTCAAAACATGCACTGGCACATGTACAGACACACATACTCTCACACACACAGGGATCGATGGGGCAGGATAGGGAGATCTGGCTGCTCAGCTTGGCCTAGTTCTCAGAGATTTATTGAGCGCTGATCTGCATTTGGCCTGGCCAGGGAAAAAGTCTGCAGGATTGATGAGAAAAGCTGAGTTGAAATTCCAGCCGACCATTGGAAACTAGCTACATGCTCTTGCTGTCTCAGGTGCTGGGTTGAATGTAATCTAATGCAGGAGAGCCATTAATCTCCAAAGCTCCTTTTTATTTAACACAAAGAGACGTTTTTGTCCGGATGTGCCATCATCTGTTCTCTTGCAGTTACAGACCTCACTAAATCAGAGATGATGTCTTTATATATTAAATAAAAGTTGTTATGGAGCCTATTAAGACAGGTCTGAAGTTTTCTTTTGAAATTCTAGGCATGGACGCAGTCCTGGACACAGGAGATGAATACTTTTTGGATTATTATGTGGGTGGGGAGTGATAAAACAGTGGAGCAGGTTTTGGCTCCAAGTATATTGGTAGAGTAATTATTTAAAACCATTTCCAGCAGGTCAGTTAACCCTCACATGCTTTTATATCTTTTGAAAACTGAAAATGATTTGTTCATTTTCTGAAAGTCGGTATGATGTTGCTCCAGAGTTTTAGTTACTCACTGCATTAATAGTACAGGATAATCAAGAATGTGCATTTTCTTATTCTTGTAAGAAATCCAAAAATATGGACATCTAAAAAAGTTTCTGGACTAGCAGTTTTGGAGCACTGTCACTAATGGCCCTTTTTTTCCTCTTTATTTTTGGGTGCATGTGTTTATATTTGCCTCCAGCCTCGGAGTCAGAAAGCGATGTTTCACCCGAGAAGCGAGCAAGAGTTGGTGTGGTGCCAGAGATTGAGGAGTCTTCATCATCATTGTCATCCTTGTCGGCATCATCATCATCCTCGTCTCGCGGTGGCTCTAAACAGCGGAGCCGTAAACGTTGCCATCGTTGCCAAACCAAACTGGAGCTGGTACAGCAAGAGCTGGGTTCCTGTCGCTGTGGTACGATGATACAACTCTGTGTGCATGAACATACATTAGAACAAACTGTATGATCAATGAAGAGACATACGCTAATACAGGCACAGGCCCACTCACACACTATAGCATACACATGAGGTAGTGGCAGCCATTATTAAAGACCTCGGTTGTGTGCCTTGCATGCTGCTTGTGCATAACATAATAAGTTACTTATGCAGTGGTCAGTATTGGCCTCATACATAAATGTTAGTTAGCTTGGTTGTAGTTTTGTGAATTTTACACCCAGTGCAGTTAAATGTATCTACTACCTGTGTATGTGTTTGTGTTGTTGACAGAAATGTCAATAACCAGAGTGCTTTTGCTAGCCTTGGGGGACCATTACAGAAAGCCTGAATGTTTCACATTGCACATAAAACATAAGCCAATTACCACAAACACTAATGCAGTTTAAACCAATATTTGGCTTGATAATCAACTTGTTTGCATACAAATTAAAGTACTTAAAAAGTCACAGCTCTTCACTGCTTAAAGACCATCTGCTTAAACCCACACACTAATTTCTAAATTGGAAATTGACTTGCCTTTTTTTCCACCAGGCACTGCTTAATGCATGGGCCATCTATCCTTAATAGTCCAGTGCTTACTACAAAAACATGCTTTTTACAGACTGAAGGGGAAATGGTGGCAATTACAGTGATTTCTGACTATTGCAGTAATTGCAGATTACTTTGCTAATGGTTCTGCAGAATGTAAGCTAAGAAGGTCTGATAATGAGTTGAAAGCACTGACACTTTTCAGATTGTAAATGGGGAAGAAAAGATAGCTCCACTGCTGTATTTGATCCAATGTTGTCACACTTAGTGGACTGCTGTTGCTCAGTGGCTATAATATTCATCTTACGAGATGTGAATATGACACAGACTAAAAGCACCAGAGCTGAAAAAGCTAATTAAATCATACAAGCTCTCTTGCAATGCAGAGACCCAACAGAAGCGAGACCTTATCCCTGTCCAGCATTTTCCGTTGTCTTTCACTTTGCAAGCAATAGTCCTAAAATTTCTAATTTAACAACACCTGCCATACCTTTTCCATTAACAATAACCTATTAGAAATTAGCTTGATATATTAACCTGTACGATTTTATTTTGGTGTCTTCTAAATATGGAAAAATGTGCTGTGGTATTCTAAATTTACTGTAAGTTGAGTAAATAATCACTCACTCATGGTACATTACAATCACATAATGGCTATAATCCATTTGCCCTTGCCCACATGCTGCATGTTTTGCAGTGGCAGGGATGATGAAAACCACTTAATAATCAGCCTATTAATTGATGTTCTTGCTGCAATAACTCCAATAACTGGTTATGTTTAAGGTATTTCTGTGCACTATGTGTGTGTGCATTTTTCAGCTTGCTCATACTCTTCATTTTTACCTTTTAGGTAAAATAGATATTGATGACACCTTCGATTTTATGCGATAAAAACTTTAAAAACTTGCAACTTACAGTATACACATGGATTTCATTATATTACCCAAAAGCATTTTTCACTCACTAAATTTCCTCTGTGCTCATTGATATTTCAAAACTCAATTCAATTCACAGATAAGTTACAAAATGTCAGCAATGAACTTGGTGGAAAATGGTTGATTTGTGGTTTCTAATGGGGAAATGATCACGGTCTGTTATCACTAGCTGTGAAAACAGGGTTGTAAAAGACCCTTAAATATATGGCTTATTATTGGTGGGTGTTGTTCTCTGTTGTAATGCACACAAATTATTTTCAGGCACCTAAATTATTTGACAAATGAATACCTTGAGGGAACCATTCTATATGTGTTTTAAAATAGGGTGAAAATATAATAATATGTAATATATATAATAATATAATAATATGCAAGATACATTAATAATGTATCTAACACTTATACTATATCATCAAGACAGTTTTCTTTACTTTGATTGCAGCAAGCAACTGGAAATAGTTTTGATTCTTGGGCAGTGTCTAGCAGCCCATCCCTGTAATAGACTCAAATGTTAAACAACTTTTTCCCTTCCACTCCCTTTGTGTGCACTGTAATCGCATAGGTTTTAATTGCATAGCAACCAGCTGTCAAACTGGGCTTTTAATCACTGCTCATTGAATGCCAGCGGTGTTATTATGTGTATTAATGAATGAATTTAAGACGATGAGAGCTAACGAGCTTCTCCGAGCTTAACGAGCCTCCTACAGTGGCAGGGCCCTTTGTTGAGAGCGCTACAGTAGAGACGGAGTCAATGAGAGAGATGAGGGTTGTCTGCTTTTGTTGAATGGAGTCAAAAGTGGAAGCTTTCAACTAGAATTGAATGTCTTCTCTGTTAACAAGATGTTCTACAAAGCCATGTAAAGGCAGCAAATATAATCTGCCCTCGGCCATTTTGAAAGACTTGTATATTGAAGGAGATGTTTATCAACCTATAGTGACATGTAAGTTATTACCACACACAGTACTTTTAATATGCATATTGTAAGCATAACACTCATTTTCCTTTTTCAACTTTTGTATAAATTATAGTGGTTTCAAAAATGTTCAAATAATGATCCTGTATGTAGATATACTTAATTGTACTGTTCATATATACATTAATATTTTATTCATATATATCATATATAGCAATATTCTTTGGCATTCTGTGTCATGTTTTTTTCTGTTTGTAGTTTTCATTAAACTACAGCCACATTTGTACATCCACTGAACCTGTCAAATTGACCTCTCTCCCTCACTTTCTCCCACGGTCCAGGTTATGTCTTCTGTATGCTCCATCGGCTCCCGGAGCAACATGAGTGTCTGTTTGACCACCTGGGCCGTGGTCGCCAGGAGGCCGTCCTAAAGATGGTCAAGCTTGACCGCAAGGTGGGCCGCTCATGCCAGCGCATCGGAGAGGAATGTTCCTGAAGAATCTCTGTGATCAGAAGGTGTCTTAGCACTAATAGGGATTTGATTTTTGTTTTTATTCTGTTTTATTCGTCTCATTTTGTTTTTCAAGATTTCTGCAGGTCTTTTTTTTTTTTTTTGGATACAAACCTCCACTTTTTTCTCTTAAATTATACTCCCTCTTTTTAAATCCCACTGTTGCCCGTATCCTGGTTGTTTTCAGCTTCTGTTGGTATGATCATATCCCTGCTGCTAAGATGCCTTTTGGAAAATCCATACCCAGGAATGAAAGAACAATAAAGAGCAAAGGAAATACAAAGTTTCTTCACATTTTTGCAAGCTCCTTACTACACAAGTGTGAGTGGAGTAAGAACGGATAAAAGGATGAAGAGAGGAAATACAAATGTTTGTCCTGGAAGCCAGTTTAAGACTATACTCTTTACCTCAAAAAAAAAAAAAAAAAGACAAAACAAAAAAACAACAAAGAATGACAAGGAGGAGGAGGAAGGGATGGTTACCCTTTGTGTACACTTTCGCTTTGGCGCTGTTTATAGACTGTTCTTTACCTCAAAGTCAGACAGAGCTGCTTTCTACTCTGCGCCAAGCAAGGACTTTAAGTCAGTGTCTTACCCCCCGGCCGTCCACCACATTTAATCCTAAACCTTCAGAAACACAAACAGCTGTTAATCATCCACCTCAGGATATCACAGCCCAATCTTCACCTCTCCTCCGACCAACTTGCATCTTTCTGTTTTCCGCTACAGGACACCTTTTACTCCTTTTGTTTTAAGATCGTTGCGAAGGTGTTTCTGCCATTGTGGACAATGAAAACTGGGGTGATGCTGTAAATCCAAATTCAGAAGTTGCGTCGTGAGCCGGACTCAAACACACACACATTGATAAGTGGGAACAGTCAGCTGGTTGTCCTTGGATTGCACACAGATCTGTCTTCAACGTTGGGATGTGATTGATCAAGACTTAATTTTTTTGAGGATCTTCTCTGTCTTCCGTCTTTTGTTTCGACCTTTTTCTCTTTTTCTCCACAGCCCTTCCACATGATAACATTTCCTCTTCACACCCGTGGTCTTTTTCAGCAACATGTGGATTATGTGTGCTGGATGTGTACAAACTTCAGGAAGACTAAATTTACAGGACATGAGGGACATGAAAGTTTGCTTATGGTTTATGAGTGGACCTGGAATGTCTGCACTGTGCACATCCTCACATCAGTATACTATTACACACACTCACACTTTTATGTTGTTTTATGTGCTAAGCTGTTGTTCACCTTGAGCACAAACAGACAAAATCAAAGGTTGCTCTGTACACTTGAGTTTGGACTGAGGCGGAAATTAACGGAGAATCACTCAGAGGTTCCTGCTGGGGACTGTGATGGCTGTTAGGCCTTCATTTCAATTATCCACATTGTTTAAGTTCATTTTTGCCTCTAGCTTTGAAACAAGACTTCATATTCTTTGGTTTTCATTTTTCTTCACAGTACTTTAATGTTCCTATTTCCTCCTCATGTGTTGATTTCCTGCTAGCATGATGAGGTCACATGCATCCTCCTCCTCCTGCCTTTGACTTTGCTTTTCTCATCTTCCCCTTATTGATTGCTCTATTTTTCCTCATTTCACCCTCTGTCTCCCCTCCTCCTCCATTCTTGTTTTGCTGTAGATGAGCGAAGAGAGCCGGGGTGAGTAGAGTGCTGAAAGTTAAAAATCAGCAAATAATTACTGTCAAAATGTTTTCCTGGTGGACTGTGGAAGTAATGAACAGAAAATGCATAATGAATGAATATTCTGTATCTTAAAGAAAACCTTATTTAACCCCTTTTTGCGTTTCAGATTTAGTTACACTTTAGTGTAGAGCTGCAGTTTTTGGTTGTAATGTGGTTATAAAATGGGAAGATGAATGTGGAAAATTCTGTATTTTTGTTTTCATTGCTTTACCTTTTGCTTCCCCTTTCCAACTTTTTCTTTTACTGAGAAAGAATAAACTGGATTAGACAAAGTGTGGACATCTCTGTTGTTCTTATTGATGCGATGAATGGGAAGACTAAGGATTGTTTGGGAGAGTTTAGCAGTTTAATCTTTTGTTTTTCTTCCACTCTGGTTTGATTTTGCCATTGCACTCTGAATGTGGAAATTTGGGAGTGGAATGAACATATATATATTTTGCATATTGTGTATTTTTAACAAACGCATACATGAGTCGATTGTTGGCTGAGAGTTGAAGCTTTCTTCCAGTGTGTTGCTGGGTCTCCGTTATGTCCTAACACCCTGCAAACTTTTTTATAGTGATGTAAATGTCTGTTTACTGCTCACAGAGGACTGCTATAAAGCTACTCTCATTTACTTAACAAATCTGTTTGAGTGTGTTAGCGTGTGTGCTTGTGTGTGAACATGTGCGCTTACTAATGGAGAATTCTAACTAAAGAGGCTTCTAATGGCAGCAATGAGTCTTGTGGGCCGGCTGCACTAATTAATGTTGTGAAAAAAGAAAACTTGCTATATGTAGCCGTGATCAAAAGGCATCTTCAAACGTTGATATTGGCCGGCTGCCAGCCTGAGTGTAATCTCTCACCCCCCCTCTTCACCCAAACTGAGCTAAGACTATGGAAGTTAGCGCCTACATGTGAATTAGTTGTAACAGAAGTTTCTCCTCTCTCAAGGTGGTTGAGAGTTTGAGCAGCCCTGCTGGGTTACACCAGAATTTTGATCTCTTTAAACTTGCCTTATGTGTCCCTCTGTAGTTCTCATTATACATTTTCTTGTCGATTTTTGAGATCGGTCTGATTCTCAGCTTTGGTGTTGGACCCCACACTGACATGCACATGGTGCTTCATGGGTTTTCCAAGACTGATGAATTGATACTTGTTTGATTATATATACTGTATATTTTTTGATTACATATCACAAATGGGAAAGTGGTCTCAGACTTTAGGATTCCACTCATCAATTTGGTGCTTAACACAAGTATGCCATATGTGGACATATACACTGTATGACAACTGTAAATGCTGAAATCCTGAGACTACTGTGTCTTAGTGTTTCTGACACTGACACTTTGTTTCTAACGAGGAGTGCATATTTCCCTTCCTTTTATTTCTTTGGATTGGTTTGGAATACACTGAGGTGTTTTTTTTTTTTTTAAATAATCTTTTAAGTCCCCCTCAGGCTTTTTAGGGCCCTTGCTTTGTTCTGGTTGTCAGTGTTTTTACTCTCTTTTGTGTTCTGTGTTGTCTTGATTATATCCTGACACACAGGATGAAGCACAGTGCCAGGATTGGGTAGCAACAAGGAGCATGAGATCTGTATTTGCTGGAGGCTGCCTGGTGTTAGAGAGGGATTTGGGGGATAAGATGTTGTGGCCGGTGGTAAGTAATCTCCTTACAGCTCCACAAACAAGGAAGCCTGCCATTCTCACCGCCTTGATTGGCTACCATCAGTTATCTACACCGTCATTGTATTGAATAAGGCCTTGTTAAATGCTTTGTCTCGCTCGCTTCTCTTTCTGTGCCTTCATGTCTTGGCTGTTATTACCTTCTCTCCCTCTCTTTCTCTCTCGAAACCACTCGGTTCTGCTTCAAAATGCTGGCTCCAGTCTGAATCAGAGGTTAGAGAGTGATCTCAGTCAATCCAGTGGAAGGTAACAATCTCCAAAGTAAGCGTCAGATCAGTTTTAATGTCTAATGCGTCATAGGCTGTTTTGCAGGCAGCACTGGTGTTACACAATTTAAATGTAAAGTCACTTGTTAGTCTTATTAAATTTGATGAGAGCTTGTCAGTATAAAAGCACGTCTGTAATTACGTCAGATGCATTACATCCATTTAAGCAGAGATTATGTTTCTGCCTCATTTATTATAAAAATAAAAGACAGACAACTAATGTCAGATTTTAATAACAGTATACTTTAATCAAGATTTTCTAACAGGAGGTTTTATGCTTCAAATTAGCAAAATATGCATTTATTCATGAATATACTGTACAAGAAAAAGGCAATGTCGCTTTGGTTGGTTTTCACTTAATTTATTCAAGAGGCCTGCATATTATTATTTCACCTTGGGAAAGTACTACGGAGAGAATTACAGTTGTGAAGTGTGGCAGAAATGAAAATGATTCATGAAATTATAAGGCAACATGTAGGTAGAAATTCCTGCTTAAATTATATCAAAACCAAGAATCCCTGGGGGGAGAGCCAGGGCTCTCTAAAAATGTTTGGTGTTATGTTAAAGGCAGTGATAGAGCAATGAAAATCTGTATGCTAATGGCCCTCACCACCAATCCCTTTATTCTGGATAATGGCTTATAAGCTGTTGTACAACCATGTTTTAAGATTTCAGACTATGTCTCAGAGATGTGAGTGCCCATTAGTTGAGGTTGAATAAAACATGTTGTCTTAACCATTAAAGCAACTATAATGAATGTTTTGATGCATAATAATGATGTATCAAATGACTGTAAAGTGACATGGGTCACTCATAGTGATGAGCCCCATAGGAAAAACACCACTCGTCCCCACAGTTCCTCTCAGTTCTACAAAACTTTGAAGCACATTTGAGCTCATTATTTTAGTTTTCTGGCCTGTAACTTTGCTGTTTTGGTTCACTCTCACCGCTCTCACCTGTGTTGTTTTCTGCCAAAAAGCTCTGATGAACACACCATACATTACCTGTCCTGCACCAAACAGCAGACAGACATAGTTGGTCACTATCTGGTGAACATAGTGGAGCATTTATCTACTGAAGTACCAGACATTTCCCTCAAGAGTGAGTGGAGACCAAAAACAGAGCTAAAAGAAAGTGAATGGTAAATGGACTTGCACTTATATAGCGCTTTTCTAGTCTTAATGACCACTCAAAGCTTGGACTTACATTCATCAGGTAACGAATGTGTAATGTTTGCTGTCACCATATCAATTGTAAAGGTGATGTTAATATTGTGTTCACAGCTTGTTTCTGCTGCCCCATGTGGCTCCCCAAAAAACAAAACATTCATAGTCAAGTCAATAAATACTACAAACACAATTGAGCTCTATGCAGGGAGAACATATTAAAATGCCAGATGGGTTGACCATGTGTATCTCCTACAAAGCAGCTAAGAGGGAAAAAGTTGTCTGAGTTCATTAGTCATTTTGCCCTTGCAGACATTACACTTATGCTGACTATTAAACTTGAATGCCTGGTGAAGAAATATAAAATAGATTAACTCTGTATCATTAGATAATCACTTTCAGATGCACCAGCATGTATTGCTGCTGATGCTGTCTATGTTATTAGCATGCATCATGGGTTTGGATATATTCTTTAATATTCTTTGAGTGTAACTCAATATCCAGACACACATAAGACATAATCCCATCTCATACCACAGCTAATGACTGCAGCACCATTCATTACCATCCTAACCATCTTTAACCACCACAAACTGACACTCTGCCGCAGCAGCCTCAAACAGGCGTGCTGATGACATTTGGTCAGGTTTAAGAGGAAATTAGCAGCAACAATGGAAGATCTTATCCCAGTGTAGCCAATACTGTCAGTCGGACATTTTTTTTTCCTTGTGACCTTTAAGGGAAAAGCTGACAGCACACTTTTCCTCAGTTACTGCCTGACTTCAACAGAGTGAGATAAACCAGTGGAAATGACGAGGCTTTAAGGAAGAATTGCAGATGAATTGGCAGGTTTGTATTACAGTGGGAGCCTAAAATGGATGACAAGCAAGAGAGCATTTCAGGTTTCAAATTCAAAAAAAAAAAAGAAAAAAGATATGAGCTCACTTTCACAAAACTACATGTAAGTAGAATTCAAGTTTTTCAGTCCATTTAGTCACTAAGGAAATATGAGAAACTTTCTTCGCCTAACGTAATTGCCAACAGTTCTTATTCTGTTTCTCCTCTGGATACATAGATTTATTTCATTTTGCAATGAGACTTTTCAGTCTATACAGTGATAATTTATTATCTCTTCAGCCATTATTGACCTGGTTTTAAAGGGTACTTCCACCTATTTTACACATCAAAGTCTGTGTATATGGGCTTGGGGAGCCCTACCACATAAACATTTAATAAAGCCTTTTGTGGCTCCAGAGGATGCTGTGCAAAGTCTGATAAATTAGACATCAAGTTTTAAAATGAAAAAAATCTGAGGGCGTGGAGTTAGAAAGAAGTGCGCTCGCCAGACCTCTTTGTTCCTGCTACTCATCTATGATTGGGGCTAGGGCTTGAGGCTCCATTAGCCACTTCAAACAAAATACACCTGAACCTTAAACCTAACTGTTGTGAAGCTGGATTGTGGGTTTTGACGAGTAAGAAGAACGCATGGAATGAAAAAAGACGGTATTTCTGTCTGGAATGGTTGAAGATTATGCAGGTTGTAGATATCTTTAAAGCCTTCTGTTGATCTCTGTCAAACCTTTATGTATTCTTTGTAGTATTTTTTGCTGTTCATTCTTGAAGAAAGTCATATTGATTACGCATTAGAGCACTATGAGTTGAAGCCACAGGATAACCAGCACCTGGTCATTTAGTTACTTGCACTAAATGACCGTCATCAACTTTTTTTGAGGTGTGGATGTTGCGTTTCATATTTTTTACAGTTCTCATTTTATGTCAATTTCTCATTCCACAACCAGGCCACAGAATATGATGGCATCTCATTTGTCCCCAAACAGCACTTTCCTTATTAATGTGTAGCCATCGTTTGCAGTGTGCCACTGTAAAGCCTCCATTATTTGGCTGCCTGGGTGGCAGCCACTATTGATTTCCTGCTTTTCAATTCTCTTAACAGAAGCCAAACTGGACAGCTTATTTGGATCTCTCTCGCTCTCTCTCTCTCTCTCTCTCTCTCTCTCTGTTTGTCTCTGTCTATCTCTCTCTCTCCTCCTTCTCTCACCCATCCTTTGTCTTCTTCACCTTTATCTCTAAACTGTCCCCTCTTAGCTTTTCCCTCTTTCTTACTCATTGGTGTAATGTTCTGCTCTACTTCAGTCAGAGCTGGCTTGGTTGGTCTG